ACAAACAAGCAATGAGTTCTGAAACCTTTTGCGATGAATGTTGGATGGATTTGACATTTGTTACAAACCTGTAGTAGACACTTGCCAACCATTTCTGAAATGTTTCTCAAAATATGAATGCTCAGTATATCTTCAGCATTGCACCATAAGTACTTGTTGTCCATTATAGCTGTATTTCTTACAACAACCCTATAACACAGAGGTAGGCAATGTGGACAGGAATTCCCATCATTCTTGGCTGGGGCAGAAAGGAGTTGTATTTAATTATTCATTGCATTTATATCCCACCTATTCCTCCAATGAGCTCAAAGTGGCAGACATGGTTCTCCTCCCCCTCTTCCTCATTTAATCCTCACAGCAACCCCTGTGTGGTAGGTTAGGCTAAGAGACAGTGATTGGCTCATGATCATGCAGGGAGCTTCATGGCTGAGTGGGGATTTGAACCCAGGTCTCCCAGGTCCTAGTCTGACACTCTAACCACTACTCCACACTGGCTGTCCAACAACATTTGGAGGACACCCTGTTGGCTACCCCAGTTGTAATTTGGGTGTCATTAGGGAAGTACCTGTGCTTCAGGCCCTTACTGTTGTAATATAGTCACTGACTTACACTTGTGTGCATGAAAGAGTTAACCTGAGCCCAGAGCTCAGGTACAAGTGGGTGTGCCTTGACAGGCTCTGCTCCCACCTCCTTTCTTTTCTCTCTTTGTGCCATGCAGCTTTGGCTCCCAGCTCATCTGATTCTGCAGGTGAACTGAATCTTAGCTAACTCAAAGATTTCATTACCTTTTTTGTAAGAAAACAAAGTCCTTGTGTAGTCATTTAGAACCTTTTTCATCTTTGTCTTACGGCCAGCAGGTGGAGACCTGTTGGATGTAACTTCTGGAAACACTGCAAGTAAAATTTTCACTTATTTGGAAAGCTAAGTGCCTGTGATTTATTCTAGCCTAAGTATTTGGGGAGGGATTTTGTTTAATGGTGGATGCGGGCTGGTGTAAATCTAAGTTTTAATGTCTTAGGAGCAATTGCCGAGTAAGAATCTCTTCCAACCCTCTCTCTCTTACATAATAGGAAACCATCCTTCAGTTCCTAGGTAGGATTGGTGGTTTTAACTGCAGAATTTCTGGGTTTTGTGCAAAGAAATGGCAGCCTTGTATCCTGCTGTGTTTCATTCCCCAGCAATAGTTCGTTTCCATTTCAGTATCATTGGTGTGTAAAAAATGCACAGGCTAAGCAGGATCTGATTTTTGTTTCCCAGTGCCTTATTCTCACTGCCCTTCCTGGCTTGCCACTCGCCTATCCACATGGCTCCTTCACTGAGGGTGGCCGGAGAGTGAAGCATGAAAAGAAGCCACAGAGACTTGGCTTGCTAGGTGGTCCATGGTGCAGCCTATTCCACAGGGGTGTTAGGGCAATTTTATGTGCTGGTGAGAACCCTGATGTCCTTGGAGGAAGGGCAGCATAAAAACCCAGCAAGCAGTAATAACAGACAGTTTAATAAGTAAAAGTTACCTTGCACTCCCCTCGGTATATAAAAAAGCAGCTACACTGAGGGCATGACACTATGCGCATGTACTGAAATGAAGTTCGTTCAGCACTGAAGGACCACGAGTAAAGTCAAGACAAAATGAAGCAAATAAAGTAGTGACCTCCTCCTGCTCTTTCTCCAGCTGCAGAGGCAAGGAGGGAAGCTCTTGCGGGAAATCTTGAAAAGTAGCCCTTCATATTACAGAGACCTGTTATCAGACAATAATACAGTGGCAAAGATCTCTGTGGAAGCCTCGTTATAAGATTAGTTAAATTAATGGGAGTTCCCATATGGTGGAAGTTATAAAGGGAGATAATTACTACCTGTAGTAGTGATGTATTAAAATGCTAATTGCTGTTGTCAGCAAGGTGTTGTTTTTTTTTTTTAATATAGAGGTCATATTAAAGTCTCCAGTGTGTCTCCTTAATTATATAGAAAGGTAAGCAGTCATACCAAGAAGACTGTATTTCTTTGCTATTGTTACATGCATTAGTGGCTGAAATGCTGCAACTCACTGAAGACAAGAACAGGAACAATGAGGGTCTCAGAAATGTTCATTGCAGTTGGATTAGCGGCTCATCAAAGACTCTTATGACAATATCATATTCTAATGGTTTTTAAATAGTGTTTCAACTACAGATGATCATTATCCGAATTTGGTTATCTTTGCAACAATGACATTTTTATTTTAAAGTTTCAATAAATAATATTTGTAGGTTGTTTATTTTAAGGATGTGTGGATATATTTTTTGGTTTTACACTTGTAAACAGCTTAGAAGTCTTTCTGGCAAGTAAATGGTATATCAAATTAATAAAATAAAAAATAAAAAATAAATCAGCCTCCATCCTTCAGCTCCAGGGCAAATATTAGAAGTCTTCTTCTGGTAAATTTCTGATCTGAATCCACTGCATCATTGCAGAAGTATCATCTGCCAGGTACTTAGACTGCAACCCTCTGGGAGTAAGTCCCATTGAACTCAATTGTATTTATTTCTCAGTAAACCTCCATAGGAGTACTGCACTGTTAATAAACTGCACATTGTCTCCCTAGACGGCATGCAAGGGAAAATGCTCCCAGAAGGATAATTTGCAAGTCAAATTTAGGAATTAACTCCATTTCCTACAAAATAAAATAACAAGCTAAAATAACAAGAAAAACTCTACATGGAGTTCAGAAACCAAAATTAATTTCTAAGTGTTAGCATCTATGCAAAGGGCGATTAATGAGCTTGGGTACTTCAAAGCAGGTAGTATTTTTCTCGATGTAGAATCAATGAAGAGCAGATGGAAACCCAAGCTTCCCTGTGGGTGGCGGGCAACGGAGAAAAGTGATTCCTCTGTGAGACACGCGGAGTGCATGCTTGACAGCAAATCCTGCCTGCAGTCCAGGGATATGGAAATGAGCCTCCAAATCTGCTGAGCATGCACAAAGTGTTTCCACTCCCCACTGGGCAAAAATGGCCAACGGCTTAGCATGGGGAGTGTTGGGTTCCACAAGTTCTGTTATTCCACCATGTGCTGCACAATACTATGCATGTTTCCTCCGAAGGAAAGTCCATTGAGTCCAATGGATTTAACTTCCAAGTAAGTAAAGCGAGTACAGGATTGCAAGGTTTTATAGGATAAAACTACTGCTTGCGCGTTTCTAGATGAGGACAGAGGGAAGGGATGAGCATTAGTCCTTGCACCTCCACCACCTCAACCTAGGTAAGTCCCATCCATCCATCTCCTCCAGCCTGTCAATTTGCTCCAAAACAGTCTGGAAGCTGTTTAGGGGCCCATGGGCTCACCTGGAAAAGCAAAGGGGCTTCTAGCAGCATTGCAGTGATGTGTGTGCTGAAGCTCAACAGAGATCCAAACCCTTTAAAAAAAAAAAAAAGCAAGCTTTGGCAGACCCGTGGTGGTTAATGAAAAGGCTTAATTGATAATCAGCTAGTGAAGATTGCAGGACACTTTGTAGGAGGGGAATAAACTGTTCCTAATTACGAGTAAATCCTATCTTTATGCATGAGGCCAAAGAGATAAGGTGTTTGCCAGCATATATTGCCAGGCCAATAAAATATTTCAAGTACGGTACTTCTTCACATGGAAGATCCTGGGCTTTCTATTGTGAACCGCCCTGGGATCTTCAGATAAAGGGCAGTATACAAATTTAAGAAATAATTTCTCTGCGCCTCCTTTCTGCCTCATTTCCCCATATTAAGGTTACCAGATTTTTTTCAATGAATCCAGAGACACTTTAAATACATACAAACCTACCCACATACATACATACATACTAACTACAAGTTTGGGACGTTGATGCTGCAGCAGTGGCAGTGGCAAGAGGGGCGGCTGCCGTCTTGACCACAACTGCCACGTTTCCCCTTCCTTCGAGGCTTCTATCTCTTCTCTCCATGAGCCTGGGCAGCCCCTGAGTTGTTGGTTCTTCGGTGGTGGTGGGGAAGCGGTGCGCAGTGGGTCAGGCATGGAAGGTGGAGGAGGGCTGAGAGCATTGGCGGCCGAGGCTTGGGCAGCGCTATGCCTCCCTTCCCATTGGAGCAGCCCCAATCCCATTCCTATTTGCATGCAAGCAGGAGGAGACAGAGATCCCTCAGCTGGGAAGGGAGGCTTCCTGTTGCCTAACTGAGAGATCCCTGCACCCTCCTGCTTACACGCAAGCTCTGATAGGCAGCGTGAAACCACCCTTCACAGCTGAGATCTCCCCGCCCCGCTCCTGCTTGCACGCAAGTAGGGTATTGGGAGGCTGCTCCGATAGGCAGCATGAAGCCTCCCTTCACAGCTGAGTTGCTGGGGTCAGGGAAGGTGGAGGCAGCCCAGAAGCTGCATCTTTGAGCCCCCGCACCACCATCACATGGGGACTTCTGAGCAGCTCCTGAAGCCAGCCAGAGTCAACTGCTCTGGGCTGCCGCTGCTGCGTTTACCGGGGACATTAGATGAAATCCGGGGACATTCCGAGGATGGAATTTGTCCAGGGACTTATTCGCAAATCTGGGGACTGTCCCCGGGAAACAGGGACGTCTGGTAACCCTACCCCATATCCCTTTTCAACTCTGATTATGCTCAGCCACTTTCTACCTTCTTCTGTATCCCACTGAAAGCTACCAACATGTCCAGTGTCTCTGCCCCTTGCCTGAGCCCCTGATGCTTCCCAAACATGCCTTTTCTCTCCCCCCTCCATTATAATGTTCTTGGAATAACTCTATCAACACTTGTCTAATATCTATATTAGCTGAGGGGGTGCCTTTCTGGGCTGGTGGGCACATTTGGAATCCTGAGAAAGTGCCACAGGCACCAATAGCAAATGGCTGAAATGGGCCCCGTGGCATAAGACAAAATGGCTGCCACATCTCACAGAGCAGAAAGAGGGACAGAAACACAAAATGGCAAAAGCCTACCCCACCTCCCTACCCACCCATTCTCATTCTCTCCCCCCCTCGCCCCCCTAGTTATATCAGTGGAAGATCTATTTTCACTCTTTTAAGAGACATAATTTTTTTATTACTTTGATATGATCCATTCAAAGCTTCTCCAGAAACAATATCATTGAAGTTCTGACCCATCAAATATAACACAATTTGCAGTTGAGTTGATCATATTGGAATTCCTCATATGGGTTTGTCAACACTTTGTAAACAAGAACATCATACAGATATACTCCAAAACAGGAAGAGCACACAGGTCAGTTATCCCATCACTTCTTCATTTCACAGCAAAAAAAAGCTACAACAATTGTTGCAAATTTAAGTAGAAACACTTAGGCACGAACAAAGTGGCCCAGAAATTTGTACAATATGCACAAGAAATTACAGTGTGTTGAGAGAGATGGCAGATCTATCGTCTCTGCCTCAGTGTTAAAAATAATGATCGTCTCTCAAAAGACATCTCACTTCTTCGGAGGGATTTTGCACATGCACATTACTTTGCTTTTGCTGAAGAATAAAAAGCATGGATGGGTGGACACAATAGATTGAGGCTCTCTCTGTGGCATTTGGAGGTGATGAGCACATGAACCAGCTCTCAGGGTGTCTTGACAGAGGCAGTGCAGAGATCAGTTGTGAGGGAATGATAGCCAGAGAGGGCTCTTTCCCTCTGCCTTGCTTGTGGGCTCACCAGAGGCATCTCTTTGTCCACTTGGGTGGGAAAGAGAATTAGATGGACCTTTGATGTGACCCAGCAGAGCTCTTCTGACACTCACCCTGGCGGCAGTTCAGCAATTCTGTGGTCCGCAATGAGCTTTTCACACCATTCTTGGGACTGCATCCTCATCTTTCTTTGCTGCATCAAAGTGAGGGAGATACTTGCGCCTGACATCAGGCTATGTGGCCCGGGTTCAGGAACCTTTCTTACCCTGCTTTTTGCCTTGAACAGAACTGGGCTGCAGAAAGTTTCAGCACCAGCAAGCAATCCCTTAGCTCAATCAATTGTTGTCAGTTTAAGGGACTGTCCTCACAGTACCTAAGGCAGCCTTCTCCAACCTGATGCCATCCAGATGTTTTGGACAACTGTAGTAATAAAAATGATATCACCAACCAACCCCAGCCAGCACAGCTGTGTTGGCTGGGGCTAATGGCAGATGTAAGCCCAAACATCTGGAGGGCTCCAAACTGGAGAGTGCTGTCATAGGGAAGTGATCCACTACATCTGTGCAAGGATCTACATAATAGTGGAGGGATCCTTTTGCCCCCTCCCTTTGAGCATGTGTGCATTACAGCCCCTGGGGCCATTATGGGAAATCAATATCCATATGCACTTCCTGTCTCTTCACATCAGGTTGCTGGATTTTCCATGACTTCACTGGAGATGTGTTGCTTTCCGTGCATTTTAAAAAAATGTTCCACCTACATTTCCCCCCACACCCTTTGGGCTATACAATACATTCCATCTTGTGCCATTATCTAATCCCATCTTTACTTACACTCCTGCTTTCCACAGATTCTTCTTGTCTTAATCTTATTATGGGCTGAGGCTATGCATCTCTGTCCTATGATGCCAGCGCTGGGTGTGCATGACAGTGGCAGGCTCGTTTTGGTCCTTTGCCAACTGGCAATAATCACAAGGGATATTTGCTGCAAAAAGGCATCCTTAATGATGCGCATCTGGGACTCACAGCAGGGATGCTCTCCACCTGAGTTGTCTCTTGCAAATGGCAGAACTCCATGGAAGACACCTGCATGTCAGAGACAGTTTTGACAACTGGTGGGAGGAAGAGCTTTGCTGGAAGGGTTCCAAGGATGCAACAGGGGAGTGTGGCTTGTGTGTGCATATGGTATTTTAATGTTTTGCCATTTGGGGGATGGGGTTGAATCTTCTCTTTCTATAGAAAAAGGACCATATAATTGGGAAGCCTAGGCTGAATTGTTTTTCTCCCCATCAAACTAGTTTCCTATCCTATCTGTAGGAATTCCAGATTTCTCACGAGATGAATGGGGCAATGAAACAGTACATTTTTTCATGGTTCGGTTCGGTTCTCTATCCCCTAAACTGGTGCATATGTAAAAACATGCCCTGAGCATAGGAACCTAGATATCTGTAGGGTTTCAGTGCAACCTTTGGGGCCTTTAATAGGAATTTGGCGTACCTCCATAAATTAGGTGATGGGCCTTTGGACCCTCAGCTAACCCTACAGAGGCCGCTCCCCACAGCCGATTCATGCAGGTCAGTTGAAGAGGGGGAGTTATCATCCCTTGAGAAGAGAGGACTGAGAGGTGAGACAATAGCCATCTTCCAATACCTGAAGGGCTGTCTCATGGAAGACGGAGCCAGCTTGTTTTCTGCTGTTCCAGAGGGGAGGACCTGAACCAGTGGATTCAAATGACAAGGAAGGAGATACCAACTCAACATCAGGGAGAACGTTCTGATGGTATGAGCTGTTTGCAGTGCTTTTTTCTCAGCTGGAGTGCACCAGAGTGCAGTTCTGGCACCTCACAGGTGGGCGCTATTGCAGGTCAACACTCCTCCCATCTGCTTCTTGCCTTCACATATTTTTGAGAAGCCCAAAACAAACAGTTCATGTCAAAATGGAAGCTGGCCAGCGTGTACATGTCTTTTTTTTAGATCTATGGTTCTGCCTAACTCCTAGCCGCTCCTCAACATGATTGCTCAAGCTACAGGGCGGGGCCAATTTGTGTTTCTTTTTCTTTAATCTGTCTCCCATGTAGCAGGAGGTTGGAGGCCATCTGTCAGAGATTCATTAGATACTCTTCCAACTCCACGATTCTATGAATTTATCAGATGGGGGATTGTTTTCCCATCAGGAGGCTGTGCTGAACAGAGAGGTTTAAACTTTTCTACCACCATCCTAGCCTCCATACGGACTATATTCCTCCCCTGCTTTTGCCACCACCAAAATCTGTAGGGTCTTTTGCTTCTGGAGCTGGATCAGGCCCCCGGACTTGGGGTTATCCACCCCTGGTATAGGCACAAACCAATATGAGGAGTTGAGGGTTTTTTTCCTAACCCAACATAAATGAAGTGGAAGAGAAGTGATCTTGGAAGTACATCAGATACACAAAGTTGTAGGGAGGCAATTTGGAACGCTGCGCTATTGGATCAAAACCTGCAAACTGAAAATCCTCAGATTTGTATATGGAAATTCCTGACGTTTCCATTATGGATTTCAGATACTGCCTGGACTTTAACTCTCAAACAAAGTGGGGACAATGCTGCTCCCCTCATGTCAGGCTTGTGGTCTTCCCTTAGGGGTCTGCTTGGCCACAGTGAGAGCAGGAAGCTGGACCAGACAGGCCTTTCATGAGAACACAACAAGAGCCTGCTGGATCAGGCCAATAGCCCATCTCGTCCAGCATCCTGTTCTCACAGTGGTCAACCAGATTCCTGTGGGAAACTTACAAGCAGGATTTGAGCATAAGAGCCCTCTCGCCTTCTGCAGTTTCCCCAAGTTCCTGTGGGAGGGAGTTCCATAGGTTAACTTTGCACTGTGTGAATAAGCCCTTTCTTCTGTCTGTCTTGAATCTTTCAACGTCCATCTTCATGGGAGGAGCACTTCATGAGCTCTAGTGTTGTGAGAGAGGCAGACAAACTTTTCTCTATCCACTTCCTCCATGCCAGACATAACTTTAGGAACTTCCATCATATTGCTGCTTAACTTTTCTCTAAACTAAAAAGTCCAAACACTGCAACTTTTTTCTCATAGGGGAGTCACTCAACCCCCCTGACCACTTTCACCTGATCCAGCAGGACTCTTACATTCTTAAAACTTGTTTTTTTGAAATTCAACTTTTCCAAAATGGTACACATACTACAAACATGACATTTTCGCTCCTCCTTTTTCCTTCAAGGAGCTTTTCAGTCCCCTCCACTCCTTTCGCAATAGCAGCGACATGTGGTCTCCCTTCCAACTCCGCAGTTCCATGATCTTATGGTTCTATGTATGGAAGCTGGAAGGGAGAGACACCAAGAAGACCTGAGCATGTTGTGGGAAGAGAAGGTGAGATTTGGAGATGGAAAAACAAAGTCAAGCGGAAGGTGCTTGGCTGTTAGCCAGCACAGCCTGAGAATTGGCTAATGAACCTATCGCAATGTGGGCCCCAAAATGAGAATCCATTCTGATATATAGATCGTCTGAACATCCAACAGGGCATCACAGCAGAGGCTACACAAAGAAGGAAAACTCCATTCAGGGACAAAGTCAGAGAGGAAAGAGGTGACTTGTTACAAATGAGGAACAGCTCCTTCATTAGGGAGACTGGAAGCTGAGCCACACTTTTGATGGAGATGCGTTGCAGGGAGGGTCAGGTTGCTTAGGGAGGAAGCGTGTTGGAATAGTAGCTCAAACTCTCCGACACGGTTTTGGAGTCACTACGGGAGGAGCCGTTGGAGGTCAGATCCACAGAGAGGCGCTTGGTTTTGCTGCTGGCATCAAGCTCCTCCTCTGGGTTGCCAGCAATGGAGGAGACCGTCGTTTCCATCCGGCTGACTCTGTACATGCTGCTCTGTGTCTGGAGGTACCTGGCTGACTTCATCTCCAGCCCTTCGTATTTGCTGGCTCTGATGAAAGGGCACCACCGGAAGGCATGCTTGAAGCCTATCCGGAACCTGGGAAGACAAATAGTAGAATCACAGAATTGCAGAGTTGGAAGCGACTCAAAGGGCCATCTAGTCCAACCCCCTGCAAATGGGGTCAGCTGTGCTAGAACCCAACCTGTGGCATTTAAGACATGGGTCCTGGCCAGGATTTTATATATGGTACAGGCACACCAGATCCATTTTGTACACCCGTTTGCTTCTTCTTTATAACCTTTGCACTGAAACATTTAAATTTTCTGGGCCAAATACTGTACCAAAGAAAAAAAGAAAAGAAAAGAAGCTGAGTTCCCTGTAAAAGCTGCATAAATTAAGAAAATTTGCATAATTGATATTTTTTCTTTAAAATATCAAAGATTTATTGAAGAATTTGACAAGAAAGGGGAAAGAGAAAAAGATGAAATAAAAATTAAGAGAATATAAAATACTCATAACTGATAAACAATAATATACAAATAATAGAAATGTGTCCATTCACATTGTAGAAACAGTGACCCTAAGTACATGAATCTGGAATTAAACATACAAGTTCACACAAGCTCCCCAGAGGGCCAAATGCAAAATTGATCTTAACTTTCATGAGTGATTCTGTCATTTCTGCTATTTGATATAATTTATCCTGGCTGGGAAGGAAGGAAGGAAAGAAAGAAAGTTCTGCATTTGTAAGAAACAGAACTTTTAGTGTGGCAGCACTTACACTTTGGAACTCCTTGCCTATTGACACCAGACAGGCATCTTTGTTGTATCTTTTGGGCACCTGCTAAGAACATTTTTGTTTGGACAAACCTGACATGTAGAATGTTGACATGTGGTTTAATCTTGTTTTTAGCTTATTGATTTTAATTGCTTAAAATGTTTTAGTTGTTTTCACTGATAATTTTATTTTTTCATTCTTTTTGCAAATCATTTTGAGGTTTTATTACAGTATATAATGTTATGAACTTCTGGAATGCATACTCTTGGTCCCTGGACAGTTATTTAGAGAGAAATGAGCAATTTTCTGCTCCACTCACACCAAAAAGCCAATCTCCAAAAGGGGTGATGATGTTTTGATATGTACAAATCTGCTTTTGCAACTCAAACCTCAGCATTAGCTGAACCTGTCACAATACATCACAGGGACATGGATCTTACCTGTCATTGAGGCAGCAGTAAATAATAGGGTTGTACATGGTGGAGCTCATGGCCAGCCACAAGATAGCTAAGTAGACCTGCTGGATGTACTTTTGCTGGTACCATTCTGCCTTGAAATGCTGGAGGAGGAAGTAGATGTGGAAAGGCAGCCAGCAGATGGCAAAGGTGCACACCACAATGATCATCATCTTGACAACCTGTCAGAGAAGGACAGCCTCTTACAGCCACAGCATCAACTAGCATTTAGAGGCAGTCAAAACAAAGACGTGACCGGTCCATTCATACCAGCTAGCAGGGGCTTTGGGTAAGCACCACAGGGAAATCTCAGCGGGAAGAGACAGAAGCTTGTGTAATTGTCCTGGGGCTATTTGCTCTTTTAGAGGTGACCCACAAACAATGTGATCTTTCTGTGTCAGCATGTGTCCTGTGATGAATGAATGTTGCCCACATTGATCTGACTTTAAGGTCTGGTCAACGCTAACCCAACCAACTCCATTTCCTATTGAGTTTCTCGTGCCCTTTCCTTAGATTGGCCTTTTTTCAAGAAGCACCGTGGATAATTCTGGCCACCCGTGCTCCTTTCTGGGATCTCCCTGTTCCCACTCCATTGGAAACATCAACACCTCCAAGCACTGGTTTCCCGATTAGCTTTGCCCATTCTCTTCCTGTTATAACCTCTTCAGAGGATTTGCCAGCCAGCCCCTGTTCTCTGTCTCCAGGGGAGTGGCATGCCCTTGGCCACAGAGTGACCATCTTCCTTGCTAAAAGGTGTGGCCCACAACTTCTTGCAAATCCTAGGCTCTCCCTTCCTCATGTTTAGAAGTGCCCAGAGCAAACGGAAGATGTGCCTGGCATCATTCTGGAACCTCTGAACTGAAATGACCCTTGTGGCAAATGAGATCTGGCGCCTTGCAAAATATCTTCAGGAGAAGAAAAGGCTAAGGAGTAAATAATGCATGAATCCAGAGTGGGGTCTCTAAGACAGTTTGATGGCGTCTTGTATGCCTCCTTCCCATATCTCCTGCAGCCAAGCTGGTGCCAAATGTCTTGCTCTGCTTTCCATTGGACTACACCAGCGAGGCTGGAGGCACACTCCATTGTCTCTCGAGACAGATGGATGCCAACAACCAGGCAGTGGAGAAAAGCATTAGACCACTTCTTGAGATCTGTGTCAGTGAAGCAACCTTTTGGCTAAGAGTCATTGACGAACCCAAGATCACTCAGAGTTTCACAGCTGAGAGGGGATTTAAATCCAGGTCTGTGAGGCCCTCCTGTGAGACTTTACAACTGCACCACATGGGCTCCACCATCCACTTATCTTGGCACCATTTAGGGATCTAACCTAGAATGGGATTGGTTCATCTGAGTTAGCGTGGACTTTTTCTTCCCGCTCTGTTCAAACTCTGTTTTGATTCTTACCTTGCGCTTGGCAGACACCTGCTCCTGGTAGCGGTCCGAAGTGTCCCCTGGGATCTCACTGGCCCACAGTGTAATACCGACCATGGTATAGGCATAGCCTATTACTAGGAGTGGCAGGACGTAGCTTAGCACCGTCACACATAAGTGGTACCTGGAATGAGTTGAAGAGCTTTAAGAATCATACTACAAGTGGCTGCTTGAGGGCCTGGGTGTCCTGGGGCTACCTTCTCCTAAGCCCAAAAGCCTGTGGATCAGCTACAGTGCTTTCATAGAGAAGACAGGACTGCATGGGCCTGCTTTAGGATGGGTCTACCCCAGGCTTAGCCCACCTTCTGCAAAGCAACAGCAACCATCATACAGTTTTTGGCAACACACCTAGGAACCTGGAGAAAGGTTTGCAAGTCACTTCCACTTGAAGGAGTGTCTCCACCCCTGTCATTCTACCCAGACACTGAGATGGGTGACACCTGGCTTGAGAGCAGTACATGTGAAAAGGATCTAGGAGTCTTGGTTGACCACAAACTTGACATGAGCCAACAGTGTGATGCGGCAGCTAAAAAAGCCAATGCAATTCTGGGCTGCATCAATAGGAGTATAGCATCTAGATCAAGGGAAGAAATAGTGCCACTGTATTCTGCTCTGGTCAGACCTCACCTGGAGTACTGTGTCCAGTTCTGGGCACCACAGTTCAAGAAGGACACTGACAAACTGGAACGTGTCCAGAGGAGGGCAACCAAAATAGTCAAAGGCCTGGAAACGATGCCTTATGAGGAACGGCTAAGGGAGCTGGGCATGTTTAGCCTGGAGAAGAGGAGGTTAAGGGGTGATATGATAGCCATGTTCAAATATATAAAAGGATGTCACATAGAGGAGGGAGAAAGGTTGTTTTCTGCTGCTCCAGAGAAGCGGACACGGAGCAATGGATCCAAACTACAAGAAAGAAGATTCCACCTAAACATTAGGAAGAACTTCCTGACAGTAAGAGCTGTTCGACAGTGGAATTTGCTGCCAAGGAGTGTGGTGGAGTCTTCTTCTTTGGAGGTCTTTAAGCAGAGGCTTGACAACCATATGTCAGGAGTGCTCTGATGGTGTTTCCTGCTTGGCAGGGGGTTGGACTTGATGGCCCTTGTGGTCTCTTCCAACTCTATGATTCTATGATTCTATGATTCTATCCAGCTCTGAGGACCTTCTGGTGGTTCCCTCACTGCGAAAAGTGAGGTTACAGGGAGCCAGGCAGAAGACCTTCTCAGTAGTGGCACCCACCCTGTGGAACACCCTCCCACCAGATGTCAAGGAGATAAGTAACTATACAAGCTTTAGAAGACATCTGAAGGCAGCCCTGTACAGAGACGTTTTTAATGTTTGATGTTTTATTATGTTTCTGTATATGCTGGAAGCTACTAAGAGTGGCTGGAGCAACCCAGTCAGATGGACGGGGTACAAACAATAAAATTGTTGTTGTTGTTCCATTCCTCATAGGGTGGCCACTTAATGCATCATGCTACCCGCCCCCTCAAAAAAGGAGAAGGGGGGAAATGCAGTACCAAATAAGAGGACAGAAGAGGATACCGATTCACGTTTGCTATTTTTTATGTGTAGGTGCACATTTAGAAACAAATTGCTATAATTTAAATAAAAACACACCTCACCATTATGGGGAATCATGTGAGCAAGGGTCTGCTCAGTCTGCCCTCCAGATGCTGGCTGTGGATGGGATCATAGGAACCTGCTTTATACCAAGTCAGACCATTGGCCCAAGTAGCTTGGTATTGCCCACACTGTCTGGCAGTAGCGTTCCAGGCAGGAACATTCCCTAGCAGGAGATGAAATGAGAAGGTGTTGCCCTGCATGCCTGCTGCACATGCCACCCCTGCCAAAGCCTTGCTTACGGGGGTTGCACAAGTGCAGCTTCTGGGTTGCACGAGAGACGCAGGGAGGCATGCCCATTGGATTCTGCTGCCTCAGTCTGCCTCACGGGTGGGCTGGCCCTGTCCCCTAGCCCTACCTGGAATCCCATTGAACCCAGGACCTTCTGCATGCAAGCCTGATGCTCTCACACTCAGCTGTGGCCTATCCCAAGCCTTCCCCTCCAGCTCTCCCTTCTCAGGGCTCTCAACTTTAAACCAAACTTGGGTTGAGCAGTCATTCAAACAGAGGACTGTCTTCTTTAAAGTGGGACACATGCTAGTCCCCCACCAGTATAAGTAACCAAGTAAAAGGACCATTGTCATTTTAATGTTTGCAAGTTCTCAGGTCATCTTCAGGCTTAAAGCATGGGGTGTTTTTGACCCTCAACCCCCTCATTAGCTTCTTGACAAAGACACTACTAAAGCCTAGCAAGTCTCTGCCGACAAAAGTTTAGACTGGAGCTACTGAGCAGCTCAGGTTTAAACAAACTGTACCCTGATGTGCAAAGAGTCTCCCTGAAGTCTCCCAAGAAGAGCTTTGAAGGATTTTGAAGGTCATCTTTGAATTAGCTTGCAAAACCTACTTTGCAAAGTGCTCTGCGGTAATCCAGCTTGTTCTTAGGAAATGCCTCCGGAACCAAACACCACATGCTCACCTACAATCTCTTGCTCACTACAAATTCATTCACAAATATAAATCCCCAAACTGTAATCAGTCCTAATGCTTGGTTTCTGGCATGTTTTCTTAACAGCTCTTTCTCCCTGATAATGCTGGTTTCCTTTTACTGTACATGAATGTTGTTTGTTATGCTGAGGTCTTCCAAAAACCCTGGCGTCATATTGCTGCGATACTGATTTATGACAACAAATGAAGCAGATTTGCACTCGGTCACACAGGCCTATCAAGGCCAGCGCTGTCAATTACCCTTCCAGCTCTCTGTGTTCCAGTTATAATCCTTTCAGCTGGAGACGGCAGCAGCCACAGGGGGATTCAGGGTAGGGGCCCTGCTGCTGACCTATGCCCCCGCTTTGCGGCCTAGTCCACATATCCACAGACTCTTTCTGGACAAATGATCTCTCCAAGGAAAACCAGTTCCTAAAACCATCAATAATTCACTTTTAAACAGCGGCTAAAGGAAATATTGTCCTTGAACCAAAAGTGGGACTCATTATAATAATAATTTTTTATTTATACCCCGCCCTCCCCAGCCAAGACCAGGCTCAGGGCGGCTAACAACCAATAATAAAAACAAGTTGAATGAATACAACTTAAAAAACAAGATTAAAATTATTAAAACATTAAAATGCAGCCTCATCACAGGAGGAGAAAGGTAAGAAAAAGGGGAGGGAATCAAATTGAGTCCAAGCCAAAGGCCAGGCAGAACATCCCTGTCTTAGAAATCAGATTCCACAGGGCCCTGGTCTCATGAGGCAGAGCCAGTGTTGAAAAAGCATATGCTGTTGGTGGATTCTTGTCTTTGTCTTGTTGGGCTGTGTATGTGATAAAGGGAAGCCATATCGGGGTGAGGTTGACAGCTATGACCGCATCTAGAACAGAAGGAACACTGGGCAGCTGTGGAATGCGATGACATCAGATGACATCAAAAGAGGCAGTTTTTTCTGTTTAGATCAGCAGAGGGAGCCCTCTTGAGCCCACTCTCCTCAGCACCTGAAGAAGTGGCCCAGGAGAGATTCTGGCAGTCCAGCCCCCGCAAAGAGATGAAAAAGAAAAATATGGAGCAAGTCAAACGCCAGCTGTCCCCGGCCAGATTCCCCCACTTGCTGCACATCTATGTAGTGGGGAAGAGTCTCGCAAGCGAGGCAGAATTGGAAAAAGCCGTTGGGAGACCAAATCCCCCTCCCAAACCTGCCAGTCCTCCACCACTGGAGAAGAGAAAGAAAATTCAGATTCCCACCAATTGTGACTTTGGCGGAAGTCTTAGAGGTGGAAGGAAGGAAGGAAGACTTGCTTTGGGAAAGGGCGCTGATGGAATAGCGGAAAATGAAACCAGATGGAAAAGAGCCCAAGAAAGACTCTCCAGCTCCCCCACCAACTCAAAAAGAAGATCCCTCCCCCTCCGTGTGGGAAAGATTGTCAAGACCCAAGAAAAGATTTCTACCAAAAGAAGACAAGCCCAAGAAGCCGCCAGCACACACACAAAAACAAGATAACATAAAGATCGAACCCCTCCCCTCCTCCTTCCACTCCAGTTATGTCCTTTCCTTCCTTCCCCCCCCATCCCTGATAATTCCCCCCCCCTGCCGCCGCCGCCAACCCCTACCACACTAAATATATATGAAGTCCATGTTTCTTTCAGTTTGGCGAAGAATTGTTCATCTGCAATGCCCTTTAAATGTTTTGGTTTTAGATTCTGAAAAAAGATTTCAAAAGATTTTTGAGTGTTCAACATTTTACAGCAGATTTTCAATTATTTGTTTTCTGTACTGTTTAAACTAGATCAAAATGTAAGTCTGTGGGTAGAGATTTTAAGTATTTATTGCTACAAATTAGTTGACAAATTGATGTTACTGCAAAGCCATACGTTCTGTTAAGTCTTGTTTGCTTGAAACATTAGAATATTTTTGAAGTGCACATGGCTTGTTGTGTATTTTAAGAGATTCACCTTTTTTAACCTAAGATTCACCAAGATGTACTTTAATTCAGGGCATTATAAAGTTAAACATTTTTGGAACAATCTTCCTATTTAAAACGCTGTAATTCTTTTGACAAATAAACTAAATATAATGAAATGTCAAAAAAAAGAAAGAAAAAGAAAAAGCCCTGGCTCTGGTTGAGGCTAATCTGACTTCCTTAGGGCTTGGGACCTCTAGGGTGTTGCTATATATGGACCTTAAGGCCCTCCGTGGGGCATACCAGGAGAGGCGGTCCCGTAGGTACGAGGGTCCTAGGCCATTGTAAAGGTTTCTAAGGGGTTGCTCGTGCGTAAGCAGGCAACTATCTCCCTGGCTGGGTGCGAACACCTGGCCTGGCTGCCTAAGTAAACCGTATCTGTCCGGACGCCACTCACCCGTGGCTGACTCAGTCGCTGGCAGAATCCGTCAGTGGGCGTTTCTTAAACTTCTTCCAGCAAAGAAGCTCTTTGATGCCTAGTCTCCTCCTACTCTCTCTGCGTGAAAGCCTTATGCGCAAGGAGGGCGTGGGCAACGGAGGACCCCTACTCTCCCCGCTGGTCCCAGGCAAGGAGTCATGGGACCGCCTCGCCGCTTCTCCCATCTGCCCCCCTTCTCCACTGGTGCTACGCTGATTCTCTTCCCCAGAAGATGGGCTGCCTCTCCCGATCCCGGGATGCTCTCTGGAATCCCTCTGGATTTTGCTCTCTCCCTCCGGCACTGCTGGCAGTTCCCTGACAGCCATGAAGGGCTTTAAAGGTCAAAACCAGCACCTGACCAGCACATAGATCAAAGGCACTGTTACATACCATTAGAACAAGAGAAGCTCCAATAATTAAGGCACATCAGTGCTCAAGCTCAGATCCTGTTTCCAGTGCCAGGATTCAGATGAGGGGGGATGTGAATTAATTCTTAAAAGAGTACTTCTGAGCATGTGCAGAACATGATTCCCTTGTCATTGAGCAATAAAAGCCAATCCTAAGACGCCTATAAAGTTAAACCAGAAGAGATTTTGCCTTAGCCCAGCCCACCAAGGTCCACAGGACAGGACACGTGATCCCTCAGCACAGCTGTTTTAAATGTTTATGCTTTGTGTTTGTGAGAGAGAGATGTATGGCAGGGGTGGGCAAACTTTGTCAGCTGAAGGGTCACACTGATGGTCAGCATCCCTCTGAGCCCCCCCCCCACACCTACAGACCAGCCACATGTGTACCACTTATGCACATTCACCACACACACCCACTACGAGCAGTCACACAACGCTCTCTGCCTGACACATACACAGCAGACCACCTTTATCTCCGGCCTCACAGCTGTGGTGCTTAGCACCAAGATCTAAAGAAAAAATCCCTCTGGCTGCTGTTCAGAAAGGATTGCTCAAAAGCAGGCAGGGAGATCTTATCTCCCGTTCTTAGGGCTGAGATAGGAAAATAAGGCACTTCTGCTGATCAGCATCTTCTGCAAATCCCAGCCATTGGGGAGGGGGGGGGGTGTTTTACAACTGTGGAAACTGACAAGTCACTTCCTCCAACTTGTTAGGCTGGAACAGGAAGATACAATTCATTGACCATGCTGAAAAAAGAAGCAATGAGAGGCAGAAGCTACAAGGAGGCCGTGGTGGTGGTGGTGGTGATGATGATGATTTATATACTACCCTTCACCAGAAGATCTCAGGGTGGTTCAGTACTCTGAAATTGCTCAGTTGCTGCCAGGCTGCTGCTGCAACACCTCTTTCTGCCCATCACCTTGTTCTTTTCATCATTTCCTTAGCTGGGCAGCAGCTCCCCTGCCGATTCAGCCACAAGAGAAGGAGAATACTCTTGCACGCAGGTCCTTCTTGTGGGCTTCCCATAGGCACCTGGCTGGCCGCTGTGAGAACAGGATGCTGGACATGATGGGCCATTGGCCTCATCCATCTGCAGGATTTTTCTTATTTGCTCCTTTATCTGTTGCTGGACTAAACAGCTCCCTAGCCTCACTGGTGCCGTTGAGTCAGAGCTGGTGGAAACGCAACACATAGTCCTGACTCAATCTCTGTTGCCATCTGTAAAATGGGTAGCTGCTTAGCATGTCAGCCATATAACTCTTGCAAGAATTGATCACACCCCTAAATAGAATGCTCTCATGTTTTCTAACTGAAAAATATATGCCTAATTCAAATCTAAAAGTTATCTCTCCAAACAACCAGAGTACGCTCCGCATCAATTTGGCTTGAACTGATTCATCTGGCGATGGGGAATTCATGAACAATATACAGCAACACGTTTTACCTGGGACCCGCAGCTCCTTGAGTACGGCAAATGCAGTAATGTGAGACTGACTAGCATCAAGTTAAGAATAAATAAATGGTGGCATCACTCAGAGCTCAGACAATAGCTCCCTGTGGGACTGGAGTGTGCCAAAAGTTATTTTGGGGCCAACCTGAAGTCACGCTCAGCGGATGTTATTCTGAACTTAGGAACTCCCTGGAGCCATGCGGTTGGGAGCGGACTGAGCTGTGCAGCAGCTGACAATTGCTTGGACTCATCAAATGTCAGACTCTGCCAGGAATGAATCTGAGCTACGTCTTCACAGTGCGCAGCCGCAGAATGGGATTTTCAGCGCCCAGATTCAGCCTTCAGACATGCAAAATAAGGAGCAAGAAAGAAAGTGCCCCTGAGCTTGTCCTGTTTGCTTCTCTCTCCACTCCTGGGATTGGAAAGAGAGCAAGCAGGGGCAAAGTGCTAGCTTACTTTCATGTTCAATTTATGCCCTATCATATACTTATAAAAAGATTTTATTGAAGCAAATAAAACAAGTCAATACAATAAAAATAATAGAAGTACAAAAGCAGCACAGTATATCTGGAAGAGACTTAATATAAGGTTGGTAAAGTACCGGTACTTAAAACCATTAGGAAAGCCAAATTTGACATCGTATTGTGGAAAGGAAGTCCTGTGTGTTGGTATTTGCTGTATATAAAATCCCACCAAACAACATACAATTTTTCAGGGTCTCCCAGGCCTTTGGCAACACATAATTTATGAGTCATTTCTTGCAGTTATTGCTAAGCTCCACATATTTATATACCAAAGCAAAAGTCGCAAATTCTGTAAGGTTTTCCATTTGGAGGCAACTGAGATTCTGGCAGCCACCAGTATCCGTGTCAAGAGTTCCTGAGAGCTGAAACCTTTGGAACAGCCCAGATGAGTGGACCCATATGCAGGTCAACCATCACTGATTGTGAGTAATTTGCAAATGGCTTGCTGAAGAAGAAAGGGGGAAAGAACACTTTGCTCCCATCCACAGATGAAAGGAAAACGAGCCAGCAGCTGAGCAGTGTCACTGCAAAGCTCTAGGCCTTTGAAAGCTTCACTGTGACCACTGGTGCAAGCAGAGGAACTGAGCAAGAGCGGAAGGGTGGAGAAGGTCTGGCTCTGGCCTGCTGGCTGGATCCATTTCCTCTCACCCTGGTCTGGATCATGCTTTTCATTGTGATTAAGAACCTAATGCACTTAGAGAGCTTCCATATGTGCCTGACAGAAACATTTATATAGGCATAGGAGTAGAGTTGATGCTATTAGGAATCCCCCGCCTGCTGCTTTCCTTCTCGGCAGCTGACTTCCAATTAACCACCTTTCTGCAGAAGAGAAGCCAAGTCTTCCTTGGAGCTCTCCTGGGTCAAGAGAAGTACTGAGTTACATGAGGCATGACCACTTCTCACAGCTGCTGCTGCTGCTGCTGCTATGCATCTTGGCTGACAGTCTATCTTTGAATGGTTGGTGCTAAAAGCCATTCAAACACATGCAGGAAGGAAGCTGCTGACACTCTGATAGCAAGTTGTCACCAAAATAGAAATATATGCCCTGTTTAGCAAGTCATTTTGTAAATATATTATCCAAATCTTTTCTTTCGCTCCCCCCGCAATCTGCAGAATATTTAATTTACAGCAACATTCATCCATTCATTGCATTTATATCCCACCTTTTTCGTTAAGCAGCCCAAGGTGGTGTACACAGTTTTCCCCCCCTTCTCCTATCCAGGTACATTAGGCTGAGAGGAAGTGATTGGCCCAAGGTGACCCAGCGAGCTTCATGGTGGGGATTTGAATCCTGGTATCCCAGGTCTTAGTCCAACATTCTAACCACTACATCACACTGGAACACCACAAGAAACCATTCTGAAAAGTTATAGGAACAAAGATTTATTGAGTATAAGGGCTCATTCACACCAGTGGCGTAGTGTGGGTTGTAAGCATCCAGGGCAAGGCAAGTATTGCACCCCTAACCCATGTTAGGGGCCAGCAGCTTCCTCTATAGAGCCAGGATCAGTTTCCCTTTACAGAGATACTTGGGGGGGCGGGAGAGAACAGGACGACGACGACTCTCATTCTCCTTGGCACTGCTCCCTTACCCCACCTCTCTCTTCTGATTGGTCTGCGGCTGATAACCCACTTGTCGTCTTATTCCATGTTGCCTCTGGCACCACCAGCAGCACCAGCTGGCAAGGGGGGAGCGGTGTGGGGTGGAGCTTCTTGGCCCCATCTGCTGATAGGCGAGGAAGAAGGGGCAATAGCTTGGCAACCTCCCCAAGTGGCAGTTGCGTTGCCACGTGAGCGTTGAGCATGGCGGAGAGCAGGACAGAGGGTTGGTCAGCAGCGGGTATCTTTCTAAAGTGGAGGGTTCCCTAGCAACCGGGCATCGCCAACATCTGCTCCTCAGTTTGCCCGCATGAACTTCGGGAGATTTTCTGTGTGAAGGAGAAAGCACACTATTTTTTATTGGTTATTACTACGTTCTTTTCTTTTGAAATTTTGCATCCCTAAGAACTTTGTGTCCAGGGCAACTGCCTCCATGGCCGTGCCCACACTACGCCACTGATCCCCACTTCCCTTTATTCTGCTATTGCTCTGAGATTTCTAGGCAGGTTTTTCTTTTGTCCTGCCACTTTCCCTGGGAAAATCAGCTCTTTATAGCTGAATCGGAACAAACATCAATCTGCAGAAAATGTGGTTGATGATTGTTTTCCCAGGGAAAGTGGCAGGATAAAAGAAAAACTTCCTGAATCCATGCCTAGAAATCGCAGGACAAATGGGAGTGTAGATGATCCCAAAGTGTCAGAAATGCAAGATAGCTCTTCCTAGAAAACAGGAATTTCCGAGGCCAAAGTACTGGTGTGATGAATAAGCTTGCCATGGGTGTCTTTTCACCTTCACAGAAAACTTAAAAAGCCGCCATGCAATCAACCAGTCACCTCACAAAAACTGATTGCACTTTCATACAAAACCCCATGAGTAGCCCTGGTAATAAACCAGGTTCTCCGCCCTGAAATGGTTCTAAATTAGGAATTGTCACAAACAAAAATCCACTGAATTATACCCTAGTAACTCAGTCTACCAAAGGTGAAAGGTGATACTGTGTCATGCTTTATTATTATTTTAGGCTATCTATTAAGCCTGCAAAGCTGCAGAGTGAGAGGAAAATACCACAGCATAACTTAATCAAGTTGTTTGGCAATCACAAAATAGCACGCTACAGATTAGTCTAGATGTGTTCTTTTTCATTTTGCAAATGAAAAGGGAGGAGGACAGCTTAATTGCAGCAAGCTGCAAACGGTGGAAGCTCTCTCTTCCCAGGCTGAAACCATTTGATCAGCTAATAAAATTGCGACAGATTAGACTTCAGTTTGAAAAACGGGGGGATAAATGTTAAAAGGCAGTGGCACTAAATAACCAAGATCATCAGGGGATGGCAAAATGGAGCTAATTTGTAGTGACATCCACAGGCGTTTCACTGCATGTGTTGGAAAAGAGCTTTAAAGAGAATGCCCTTTGAAGAGAAAAAGGATGCAACTCTGCCTCTCTTCTACTAGGGGAGGGGAAAGAGAGGTTGTCCGAGACATTTCCACCCACAGACCTGCTCAACAGACACCTTTATCAAATGCCCTGACCTTTTAGATATACAGGCAGTGGCCTGTTTTGTTTTGCTTGTTTATTTGGTGAGACATCGCTCATCAAATGTCAAGGCGATGGAGAAACATCACGAAGTCAAAGGCCATAATAACTAGGAAGACTGGTGAACACAGTTCACAGATGCTGCTCTAATCTAAAGTCTTTGTGCTTGAAAATTTTCACAATCTTCTCTATGTCAGCATTTTAGATCTCACAGGAGGACAGTGATTAGACATAATTTACTGCAGAGGCCATCTAGGTCACCCAGTACCTACTTCAACCAAAACATTCACCCTAATCCTTTGGCTCAAGACAGTTGGCTGAAGTTCAGTTGGTACTTGATGTTTATCAAATTTGCAGGTGACACCAAACTGGAGGGGTAGCTGATAGCTCAGTAAATAGAATCAGGATTCAAGATGACCGTAACAGATTGGAGAACTGGACATAAGCTAACAAAATGAATTTCCGTAGGGACAAATGTAAGGTTAGGCAGGAAGAACGAGATGCACAAATATAGGATGGGGGACACCAGTCTTGCCAGCAGTACATTGTGAAAAGGATCTAGGGGTCTTAGTAGACCACAAGCCTAACATGAGTCAACAGTGTGATGCAGCAGCAAAAAAACACTAATGCAATTCTAGACTGCATCAACAGGAGTATGGTGTCCAGAAACCCACATTCTGTATGCAGTACAAGGGCAAAATGAGTGGGTGGTTGGCTCTTTTAATGGAGATTGCCAGGAAAGCCTAGGAGCTGTAGGACTGGCTACACATGCCAGGGTTTGCAATCCTGCATAAAACATAGACTTGGCAACACAGCAAAACTAACCACAGTGGTGGTGGTGAGTCGAAGGTCCCCTGTGCCCAAAAAGCTGTTCATCTTAAGGACTGGACCTGTGCACAGGGCACATGAATTGCAGGACCAGTGGAAGCAGGGAGAGAGTCGGCAGCAGCAACATCTTCTGAGATGGAGAGAGGGAAGAAGCTGGTGACAGGGCAAGGAAGATGAACAGAGGTTCTAATTGGCTCAAGGCAACAGATGTATATATGATGTCTTATATGTGGTGAGATCAAACACGCGAGAAGCTTCATGATGTAGAATAGGAAGTCCCTGTTTTCATCAGAGAAATGTTGGATGGTATGTAAGCCTGTGGGATTTATAGGCCTGGGGACTCTACTTTGGGTGGTTCCCCAGCGACTGCTGCTTTGACAATATAAAGCTGACTGGAACATCACAATTGGTGTGGTTAATTGAAGAAAACCCATCACACTTATCTTCTATGAATCTGTCCTATCTTCTTTTAAAGTTGTCCAGTTTTTGAGAAGGGAAATTGACTGCATGTGTACTATACTGCATTTTCATAAAAGATGCATAATGTATCCTAATGCAACCTTGGAACAAAAAGTTTCTGTATATCCCCACCTTCTAGTGGAATGCCAGCCAGCCATGCCCTCCTCCAGGTTATCTATTCCACCAGCACCATGGGTTTTCCATATCAGCTGCTGAACATGCTTTACCTTCGTCGGGCTGTGTCCCTCCCTCCCCAATACACACTCTTTGTAGGTGTTTATTTGTACTTTTGCAAACTTCAGGGTTCCTCTCGCCAGCGCTGGATTTAGGAGAATGTGGACAGTTTCCCTGCACAGGGTGCCAAGCCAAGGGTGCAGAAAGAAAGAAAGAAAGAAAGAAAGAAAGAAAGAAAGAGAAAATAATAAATATTTAGGAGGAGTGCCAAAAGTTGTCCTGGCTCAGGACATCATATTACCAAAATCTGCACCTGCTCTGACCATGCCAATACCACCATCTTATTTCTTGGCTGCTCTGTTTTGACTACATAGCCAGTGGCACTCACTGCCCGACTTGCAACTGGGTTTCAAATTTTATTGCTTTTGTGCTATTTTAGCACTGCTTTGCTTGACAACTGGTAGTTTTTCAGTGGGTTTTCTTTCCTGCTTCTTTTAATATATTGCTATGCTGTTTTGCAAGCATTTGTAGAAAAGCAGGATGAAAATAATAAAAAAGAATAAATGAATGCATACGATAATGAGAGCTTTTCTGTCTGCATTGTTACATGATTGTGCTGTCATGACACCCCCCCTCCCCTTTGGGTTGTTTGGTGGGTTGACGTATATTCTTTTAGAGGCTAAAGTTAAGACACAGAAGTGTCTGGCTATCACAATGGAACCAACAGGCTGGATGCAAAACTCATCCTCGTTGAAAAAGCCAGAGGCTTCAGACTCCATGCCCCCAGAATCGTCCTTAGCTGATATGATGCTGAATGACAGGGCTGGGAGTTGGAGGGGACTTTGGAAGGAGGTCATGAAAGCAGCACTGGTTAGAAGGGATGGGGGGAAGGGAAGACATTTGTTCTTTTGCTGCTGTGGGTTATCCTCATGGCATTTTTGCAATATCTATTAGAAATATTTCTTTGGAGGGGAGTAATAGTTCCTTTATTTACAAATAGCCGCAGCCTCATACCCAACATTGCTCAGTAATTCTAAGATACAAACAAAACAAATCAGTGCCATTTTGAAACGTTCAGTCCATCATCGCAATTCAAAATGGGATCCAATTATATCCAAACACAGGCATAAAACCAGCTCCTTGTTCTCAGGAACCATCATGCAAAAGTTACTTACAATGATGTGGGTTTGTGAGGTCTGGATGATGCCCAATCCTTCCAATTCTTGGGGTCCTTCACCCAGGGAGGGTTAGAATCTAACAGAGACGGTTGCTGAGCTAGTCAGATAAGTTTTCTAGTAAGACAATTACCTTATCTGGCTACTTATATGCCCTCATCAGCACCCAAAAGAAGGAGCTCAGTTGCAAGAGCTACAACTAAGTGATGGGGCCCTCCAGGCTAATGGGTGGGCCTTTCCTCCATCCTGCACCACCTAGCTGCTAACTAGGAGAACAATGGCATGTATAGCATGTGGGGGCCAAGCTGTAAGCAGGCTGGAGGATGGAGAAACAGATACCTGCTTGCTCTGTGCTGGATCCAAAGCTGCAACTAATGGAGAAGCAACATCTTTTGGGGTGTTAATGCTGTGAGTCCCTCCACCTGATGCTCAGGTTGTAGATATTTGTAAATGAAATCATACATCCTAAAGACACCGCAGTCTCCGCTGACCTTCAGTCCAAGGAAACTGAACTTGAGTACCATATTTTTCGCTCTATAAGACGCACCAGACCATAAGACGCACCTAGTTTTTGGAGGAGGAAAACAAGAAAAAAAATATTCTGAATCCCAGAAGCCAGAACAGCAAGAGGGATCGCTGTGCAGCGAAAGCAGCGATCCCTCTTGCTGTTCTGGCTTCTGGGGTAGCTGCACATCCTGCATTCGCGCCATAAGACGCATTCGCGCCATAAGACGCACACACATTTCCCCTTACTTTTTAGGAGGGAAAAAGTGAGTCTTATAAAGCAAAAAATACGCAAGTGCCTGAAACAGCTGGATTCTGTCTCTGCTTGGAGAGTGGGGTGGCATGGAACAATATCTCAAGAGGTGTCCAAATGCAAAGCGAACAGATGAACAACTTTCCAAAATATAAGGTAGACTAAGTGGATGGACAAGGCATGGGCTCCTCCAAGGCTGCAGATCCACCACTCTGAATCAGCTGGCTTCTGAATGCAGCGTTCATACTCCCACCCTGTGCATCACTGGATGCCCACAGTGAAGCAGGCACAATTTGCTCATGCCCCACAATATGATGTGTGAACACGGCGCTTTGTGTAACTTGTTCTATTTTATTGGAAATATAACACCTTGTTCCATTAAAAATGACTGCATGAATAAACCCTGCTTTACTCAGAACATTTTAAAAATTATGGCTGTCATCCTATTAAAGAAATAGTGGTCTCTTGATTGTATGAATTATTGAATTTGCATATGTGTAAAATAGTCTGAAGGGAAGAAAAATTGTTTTTCTAGATTTGCTGTCACCTTGGAAGATGAGAGCAAAGCTTGCCCTCTGCTAAGATGACGACAAATCTAACAAAAGAAAATACTTGTTTTTCTTCAGAGGGGGAGAGAGACAGCTTCTTGCCATCTGCAGTTTTTATAAGTAATGGTAGACAATAAAATAAAATCTGCTACCATTAATTGCAGATACCTGTTTTGTTGATTGAAAATGAATTGCACTAATTAAGCATGACAGTTCTCATTTTAATGTCCACAAAGCAGATTTCCCAGTCCTGGAAAGCACAGGAACTACACCATACAGGTTCTCACAGATGGCATGAAAAGGTTTAAATACAAAGAAAAGGCCTCCAGGCTTGGAGGTTTGCTTTGTCCTCAGAGCCTGGAAGGAAGACAGGCAGGAGAGATCCTGATGGGTTTCGCAGAGACCATGACCTGCTCCGGCTGGCAAGGATCTGCACTGAGACGAAACTTTAGCAGCCACAGTAACTCAGCTGTGGAACCCAGGAAGCTGCCTTATACAGAGTCAGACCACTGGCACATCGGGCTCAGCACTGTCTACCCAAACGTGCAGCAGCTCACCAGGATTTCAGGCCATTTCTCTTGGAGATGGTGGGGATAGAACCTGGGAACTTCTGCTTGCAAGGCCTTTCCAGCTGTGGTTAAGGGGGCAACTCTCGCATTCCAGGTGGAAGCCAAGAAGGTCTGTATTCTGCCTACCTTACATCCTGCCTCCAAATGCCAGGGCAGTCACTGAACTGATCGGATTTCCTCCTCCTGGTCAGCTGGTCTTCAAGGTACAAATGGGCCAATCTGTCAGTACTGGTTTCTCCCAGTTCCACATTTTTTCAAATCATAAACTCAGTTCCCCACATTTCTGAATCTTTCTTTCTTTCTTTCTTTCTTTCTTTCTTTCTTTCTTTCTTTCTTTCTCTAAATCCACAAGCATTTCAGTTCCCATTTATCTTCCTATAGACCAGGCATGTCCAAAGTCCAGCCTGGGGGCCTAATCCGGCCCGCCAGTCAATTTAATCCGGCCCCTGTGGCAGTTTATTTCCTGGTGTACCATTTTTTTAAAAGCTGCACAACTTCAATCCTATAAAAAGGTCAACAACTTTGGTTGGCCATCACACATGTTCACTTCATCAAATCTGGTCCTCTTTGAAAAAAGTTTGGACACCTCTGCTATAGACCTAACCCTCTCCTCCTTCTCTTGAGCTCAGCCTAGTTCTTTTTCTTCCTCTGTGCTCCCTCCTGCCATGGAGGCAAATATTAGCTGGGAGAGGAGAGGCGGGAGCAGAGGAGGGCAGATCCCTGCCCCAGAAAACCTATGCTATAACTTGCAGTCAGCCAATGTTGCACTGGTGTGCAGTGATTTTTTTCATAGGGGAAGAGTTAGGGCCAGAGGTGCCAGCTTGCAAGGGGAATTGGGTGAGTGTGACATGACACACGTGACCTTGCGACGTCCTAACATCGCATGTGTGAGCATTGTGCCTCCCCACCTAAGCCAGGCAGAAGCTTCCCAGGCTTTGGGAAGAAGATGCCAGGGGAACATTTAGGGGACTAACCCAGTCTCCCTGCATGCCACTGCCCTGCTGAGCTGAAGCTTGCAAGCTGCATGCAAAGTGAGACTTATTCATGTATTTAAGAAATAATAATAATTAAAGGCACTCTTGCCCACCTGAAGATTCAAGCTTTCCACCTACTACATGGAGAGAGCCAGGCAAACCTGGAGACTTCAGGTCAGATCTGGAGGTCTGGCACCCCAGCCGCTGTTGTGTTTTTACCAGCTTGTGTCAATATGCATGATGTGGAAAAGTATTCCCTTTTCTCTGTCCTGAATCCACTCCCAGACAGTTTCAATGGATGACATACCCAGTGCTATTTCTCAACAAAAAGAGGTGCCAGAACTCACCCTTGTTCTCTTATAGTGGCAATGGTGCCCACCTGAGAGTGCCAGAACTGAGCTCCAGCAAGTTCAGACTGGAAAAAAGCCCTGAACACACACCCCTGACCTCCACTGGCACTATCAAAAGTGGTCTCTCCTCTCCCATTAAATATGGCAAATTGTTCAGCAAGAGTGAGCACAACAGTATTTTGGTACGGAAATTTGTTCCAATGTGTTTAGTTCTAGATATCTCCTTCTTTTATTTTATTTGGCATCTGTTATGATATTTTGCTGTATTATAAATATATATAAATAATTATATTCAAATAAATGAATAAATAAATTCCCAAGATTTCTAGCAGAGTGAGCGATTAAAGCAATTTCTCAAACTTGGGTCTCCAGCTGTTGTTGGACTACAACTCCCATCATCCCTAGTTAGCAGGACCAGTGGTCAGGGATGATGGGAGTTGAAGTCCAACAACAGCTGGCTACCCAAGTTTGAGAAACATTGGATTAAAGGGAAGGGTTTGCTATTCAGAATGCATTGCAGGGAATAAAAGACCCTTTTGGGTCCCTTCCAACTCTACGATTCCATAATGTAGATGTATCCAGAGAGAACCAGCAGCTAAAAGCTAAAATATGACCATGGAAGATGCTACAGAATAAATATGAATGCTACCTTATATTGTGTAACTTAGAGCTGTCAGTTCTTGGAGTAATGTATAATTTCTGCAGCCTGCCCCCCTCCCCCCTCCAATCTGTATCTGAAATTCTTTCAGCCACCTTGACTCTGGGACCCTACTACCCAAGACATCTTACCTGTCCTTGGCATGTTGCAAACCTTTCTTTCTCAAGGACCCACGTAAAGTTTGGCTCTTAGCCAGTCAGACAACTTTCCCTTCCCTCACACAAATCTGACTACAAGCATTCTGACCGCTTTGTTCCCTGGGAACAAGCACTCCAGACTGTCGTACCAGCTCAGCCAGTCCATGTCAGAGGCTTCCCTAGCACAGTATCAATTATCAGCACAGGCAAAAATAAAGGAGGACACAGAGGAGTGAAGAATGCTACTTGGAGTCTCAGTAAAGCAAGACCTGGACTCTCATCTAAGCAACAGTAAAAAGCTACTGAAGTCAAGGAGGATTAAAAAAAAAAAAACTTTACTCAAATTCTAACCTACATAATTCATTTTTTGTACTAGATTCCACCTCCGCTCCTGATTCTAATACACTCCCTTGGGGGAGAATGGAGATTGCCAAAAAGAAGCATATCAATTTCCAGGGACAGGTTGCTGTGCTCTAAATCAACAAGTTTTATGCTTTCATTGATCACCTTATTGACATGGCATCCAGTGCAGCCAGCTTTCTGCTTTCTGCGTGAGAGAATGTGATACCTTAATTAAACCAATGGTTTTTTTTTAGATTTCAGCAAGTTATTAGCCTCAGTCTCTGCTTGGAGGCAGAGTGCGAATCTAATGCCTGTTATCAAGCTGGAGGCCTTCATCATCACATCAACGAACAGATTATGCTTTGCATTCATAAATATGTAATGAAAGGACACTGCAATGACTTCAGCCTCCTCCACATGGCAGAGATGTTCTTCATCATGTCCTCCGATCAAACTGAGAAAGTAATGAGTATGTGCAAGTCACAGCTGGGGGCATGTCATGAATTTCAACCCCAGAATGTCCTCATCTGTGTCTGTCTGAAGGGCTCCTACACTGCACTGGCCTTCCTGGTTACCTGCATCTAAAATCAAGGACCACAGATGGAAATTTCAAATCATTTGACATTGCTTTCAGATACAGGACTTTAACTGCAGTCTGGTCACACATCCAACTCAGAATCAGCAAGCGATGAGAGAATTCCCTGAAGTGAGTGATGTATGTGGCATGAGGAACGTACTAGATCTATGCATGTTGAGACAAAATCCCCTTTGAGTTGAGTAAATAACTGTGCCAATTCACTTCAATAGAAGGTTTTCTTGTACAGTGGTACCTCAGGTTACTGACACTTCTGGTTACAGACGCTTCTGGTTACAGACTCCGCTAACCCAGAAATAGTACCTCAGGTTAAGATCTTTTCTTCAGGATGAGAACAGAAATTGTGCAGCAGCAGCGGGAGGCCCCATTAGCTAAAGTGGTACCTCAGGTTAAGAACAGTTTCAGGTTAAGAACAGACCTCTGGAACGAATTAAGTTTTTAACCCGAGGTACCACTGTACAGGAGTTATGATGACATGACAGGAAACTGTGAAGCCAAGAGTTTTTTGATCCTATGTCACTTCCAAAAGTTACACCAAATTTCATATTTATTTGTGTTTGTGCAAATAATATTTTATAGAGAGCACAGGAGGAATGGATGCAATGGTGTGCCAGTCTAGACCTCCATGGGGCTTATTTCTGCACATCATCATATCAGCAAAGTTGGCATGATATATAATATCCCCCCAGTTGTTAAACTATTTTAGCTCTGGTACAAGTCTTGATCATAAATGTGTTCTGGAAGGGATAGGTAAATATTCTGACTTCTTAACACTTAATGCAAAGATCAGCATACTAATCTTGTGTTATCAGCAAATTTTTATTATCATCTCTCAAACAAAAGCACCATCCACATACTCTGTCACTTTCATTTCATGTAATAAACCAACCTCTCTCCTTTCCTCTTGTGCATGAACTTCTTGGGGCATAAGGTTAAGGGCAAACACGTATTCATAACAGACACACACTCTAACTCCAGCAAAAAGATCCCAACCTCTCAGAAGTGTGTGTAGAAGTACAGACAGAAGCATAGAATTGTAGGGTCATCTAGTCTTTGAGTTCCAAGACACACATGTAGGTTCAGACATACAGCTTGTAGCATGGGCTGAATCTCATCTGTGAAGAAGTGTTTCATACCCATGTCATGATTCAAGCTCATCATGAAATGAGCTTGAATAGCCCTGAACACCTGTCTTCAGGTACTTCAAGGTACCTTCCTATTTCTATTCTTCTTGGCTGCCATGCTAAACAAGCAGAGATTTTTTAAAAAAACCAAATGTGATTCAAATGAGATGTAGATTTTTCTTCTTTTTAAAACCAGCCTTCCTTTCAGAGCCGCCTTTGCCTGAAATGATCCCGCAATCAAAATCCTACAAGTTCTTGATCATGTTTCTATGAAATGAGTGCCGAGCTCTATCTCAATGCATACTTCTTGCCTGAATGGAACCTGTTTGTTGTGACGGCATCTCTCTCTCTCTCTCTGCAGTCGAATTGTGGAAGGGAGAGGGTGTCTCTCAAACCAGGATTTCCAGCAGACAGACTCCCACACCTTGCCTCCTGCAACCCCACTGCTCTGTTCACCTACAATCCCGAGAGGATGCCTGGTCTGGGTCCTGCCATATCTGTCAGCCTCAGCATTCAATCAGCTGACCCCAAGGGCCAGTCTCCAGGAACCTGGCTCTAGAAATCCAGGGCCTCAGAACCTGCCCTTCAAGCTAAACAACATATTGCTGTGGGATGTGAAACACAAGAGCAGTCAAGTACAACATTCCTAGAGTGAACATGTTTACACATGGGGAGGAATGTTTGTCCAGCCAGCAGGTAAACTTCCTGTTTCCTTCTGGGCTGGGACAGACTTCCTCTGCATGTGACTAGTGGTGGGCGTGGCCTCACCTGTGCAGGTAACGACAAAAGCACAGGCCAAGACAGCCATCTCTCTCTGTGACTACTTTCATCAAAGAAGCAACATCTGCTTAGCCAAAGATGCTCTCCAGCCAAGAGAGGACAAAGGGACTGTCTCCTTATGAGATAGCTTAGAAAAGTAACATACACCTGGAAACTAAGTCTGCCTTCTGGGATCTGATTGTGAACAGAATGTGAGTGAGTAAACTCTTTTTATACTTTTATAGAAGACTGTGCCGTGTCTTATCTTTTATGAGGGAATAAGGGGAAAATACCAGAACAGTTATTATAGAGGCTTTAGCGAGCCTGAGCAAACGCATCCGCTGTGAGTTTAAAAAAGGGGGAATGTTACTCTGCTAAATTGTGAACGTGTTAACACAAGTTGGAAAGGCTATAATCAAACAATATATCCTCTCCTGCATCCCTGAACATTCCCACAATTGCCAATGCATGGACCCTGTCTACACCTGCCTCCTTTCCCTGACTGTTGCCTTGAATTGGGACCCACCTCATACTTTGAGCTCAGCTCTGCTCCTGGGCTCCCAGACCTCTACTTCTGCCGTGCTGTTTATGAGAGCCAGCGTGGTGTAGCAGATAGATTAGGACCTGGGAGAGATCAGGGTTTGAATCCCCACTTGGCCATGAAGTTCCCTGGGTGGGTGACCTTAGGCAAATCACTGCCTCTTAGTCTAACCTACCTTACAGGGATGTTCTGGGGATTGAATAAGGAAGGCGAGAACCCTGTGTGCCACTTTGAGCTCCTTAGGAGAAAGATGGTGGGGTATAAATGAAATAAATAAGTGTAGACACTTGCTACAATCAGAGCTGATGGTTAACACAAATGTGATTTCTGCTGAGATCTGGGAGCCTGCATAGCAGGGCAACAAACGTCTCCTGAAGAGATGACTTGCAAGAGGTGCCCTCCTGGGTTATAGCTGTTTCTCCTACGTGCCATATATTTAGTTGATAACGCACACACTCCTGCTGCCTCACATCTTGACCTTGTTCCCGGCTCTCACTATGTAAGTGATACAGCTGTACAGCTCGAATGGGTCCCAAGGGCCATCTAGTCCAACCGCCTGCAATGCATGTGCCCCAGACCCTGAGAGCCTGAGTGCTCTTTCTTTGGAACTTGATCTTGTCTCTTTGGCACTATCCCCTGCCTCCAGCCCCTGGCCTGGAACGGCCCCTGCTGAAACGATGCTGTTTTGGGACTGAACAGTGAGTTCGGTGAGTTGACTTATCTCTGGACCAGCAACTATCCAGCATCTGCCTCCTACATTGGAAGTGCTCTCATACCACTTTAACAGCCATGGATTCACCCAAAGAATCCTGGGAGTTGTACTGAGCTACAATTCCCAGAGTTCCATGGGAAAACATATTATTAAACCACTCTGGGAATTGTAGCTGTGTGAGGGGAATAGGGTGGTGGTTTTTCTGATGACTCTCAGCACCCTTAACAACTTACAATTCCTAGGATTCTTTGAGGGAAAGGATGTGTTCTGAATGTGCTTTAAAGGTATGGTTTGTACACAGTTTCAGATGACGGGGCTCTATCTCTTTGGCTTTGTGTCCTGCACACTTAGAGCTCAGAAGAGGGAACCTGAGGAAAGGATATGTTGTACAACAGAGGAGTGCTTTGCACAGAACAGCCAGTCTCCAAAACTCACAATGGTAACCTGAGTACATGACTCACACTTTTCTGCCTAGATCCCTAACAGTTACTCCCAACAGCAGTACTGTAGCAAGAATATATTTCTCTTAATATACTCATTTTTGTGTGCATCTTCCCCTCTAAACAGTTTTATAAGCCATTTCTTCAAATTTATTATATCTCTGTATGTTATTTACACTAATATATGAACTTTCCCCCTAATATACGTTTTTAAAGATGCATTTCTGGTTGGATAACTACGTCATAAAAATTTAAGAAGTACAAATTTCACAGGATAGCTCTGTTATCCTGAACCGCATAGCGGTTCAGAAGGTGTGCAAACTGAACTACTTTCTCCCCCATCCTCACCTTGAGCTGGACCTGGAAATGAAGTGAAAGTCCTGAGTGAAAGTCACATAAGTACTGGACCAAAATGCTTAGTCCCAGTTAGTGGCCTGGGTGCTGCACTGGGAATAATCTGCAGTTGCCAAACTGTCTCCAAAGGCAGCCTAGTGTATAACACATTGCAGCAGTCTAACCAGGAAGCTGGCAAAGGAGGACTCCTTTGGGGGAACGTGCAGGGTATAAATCTAAGAAAAAACAACTACCTCACTCAAGTCCTGCTTTACGAACATTTGCTATGTGAAAATTCACTTAATCTGAACACAAGAAATTAGTACCCAAACCTTGTTAAATGCACCGTAAATTCAGAAATGCAGAGACCATTTCCTGGTTAGCTGAGGAAAGGAGGGAGGGAAGGTGAGTCTTTGGACAAATCAGAGAGGATTTTTCTGGGTTTTCCTGTTTGTTTGTTTGTTTGTTTGTTTGTTTGTTTTGCTTTTGGGAGTCAAAATTTCGTGGTCGGAAATGTATTAGAAAATTTCCCATAGGAATCAATGGAAATAATCAACTCGTTATATGAACACTTGACCCAAGGAACAATTTCCAGGGAACACATTAGGTTGTCTTTCCTCACAGTGAATCAGAAGAAGAAGAAGAAGTATGATTATTGCTTCCAATGCTACCATTGTGGTGCCTTACAGGTTAGAAACGTAGAATTGTGGAGTTGGAAGGGAACCAAAGGGTCATCTCGTCTGACCCCCATGCAAACTTACCTGGATTCACTTAACATAAGACACATAACTACTTCTGTGGCTGTGTGTCCTGAACATGCAGTGCCCATAGTTGGCAAGATGAAGCTACTCCTGGGAATAATGAGACAGGTTTCACCTACCCCTAATAAAGATCACATTATAAAGCTCAGCCTGCAAAAGAAGAGTACGTGGCTTCATTCCAGACCTCTGCATGCTTCCGGGAGCACACATAGATCAGCTGTTAAACTAGCCTTCAGTATTGGGACGCAGCAGCTTGTACATCCCAAGCAGTTCTCTCCATTATAATGCATGGGAAGCTCTTGTAAATGGGGGAGAGGGGCTCCGTGAAGACAACAGAGAAGGGGCCCCTGAATGAGAGCAGCAGGCTTCACATTTAACAACCATCTCCCGACATTCCCTGTCCCCACCAACCAGTTGATTTATGTGCCCTCATATTTCACTACAGCAAATCAGAGAGGCAGGAAATAGAATGCTGGAAAGCATTGCAATATCCACAGTGACATCTGAAATCCAGTTATAAAAACCAACATCTAAAATGCAAGCTGCGGACTCACTAAAATGCTTCAACTAAGGCATATAATCAGATTGGTTATGGGAACAATGTTTGCTAAGCACAGAAAGATGGATCATGACGGTAATAAATTGGCTGCCGAGGAAACGAGCCAATTTCTCTGAGCTGAATGAAAATATGATGTCAAAGCAAATGACCTTCTGGTAATGAAAACTGGTAATATCTCCATTTCTGGGGGCGGGTGTCAGGGGGCACTTGTCTCCAAGGCAAAAGCAGAGTTGTTTTGGCATCCAAACCAGTGCGCCACAAGTTATGGATGGTGGGGCAGGTCCTCTGAGAAGTAGCCATTGATCCCAAGCATGATCTTATGTTGATTTAATGGGGCATCTAAATTTATTTTTAATAGTATTCATTTATTCATACATACATTCATTCCATTGCATCTTACCACTGAGAAGCTCAAGATCGTATAAATGGCTCTCTCTTTTCCTGTTTAATAACAAACAAACAAACAACAAACAAAGAACAACAACCTGCCCATCTGGCTGGGTTTCCCCAGCCACTCTTAACATAATAAAACATCAAACTAATAATCATAATTTTATTATTTATTTTATCCTCAGATACCCAACAGACAGTGACAGCCTCAAGGTCACCCAGCATGCTTCATGGCTGAATTTGAACCCTGATCTTCCAGGTCATTGTCCAACACTCTAAACCCACTGGTCCCCTAGGTGGACAGTGCTGCCCCCTGGGGAACAGTGGAATTCACCTAGGGAGTGTTAAGAGGCAAGGAGGCAGCAGGAAGGTGCTGGATGTACAAATGACTAGCAGACTTTGAAAAGTTGGTATACAGACAGTCAAATAAACCTGCAGTTTGGGAGCAAGGATAAAACATGCAATGGTGGGAATGCCCTAAAATCCAACCCTTCTGGAGAGCAGTCATACAAGAGATATGCAAAATAACTAAACAGGTATTAGAACTCACCCCAGAACTGGCCCTACTGAACATCTTCCAATATCACAGTGACCACTCACATTATACAGAGCTTATAACCTATCTACTTTCAGCAGCCAGAAGACTCATAGCCAGATGCTGGAGAGACCTGTCAGGAGTAAACATGGACCAATGGTCTCAAATTGCATGGGAAACGGCCTTACTAGAAAAGCTAACCAATAACCTGAAACTGACACTGGGACAAATAGAAGAGGACTCCTTCACCCCAGTATGGCTCCCCTATATCACATACACAGCCCAACAAGACAACAAGAAGAATCCACCGATAGCATATGAATCAATCTGGCTTCCCTGACCCAACAAGCCCTCCCCCCACTCACAAATGCAGCCAACGACAGACAACCAGCCACACCCTGGACTCCCCCAATCCCTCTCACTACCAGGGAAATGTAATAAGCAAATAGAAAGAGAAGCTACCCAGTTGACAAAACCCCACACATACACTACACAAAGCCTCACCACCCCACGTCTCCTCTCTCCCCTCTTCTTCCCCAACCTTATACGGTACTCAACACTAATGTCTCACAACAAACGTAACTGATGTGTAAGAAATACTGCACAACCTATAAAAAAGAGAGAAGGCATCTACTTTTGTAAACCAAGAAAATATCTCAAATAAATAAATAAATAAATAAATAAAATCCTTTCACCAGCTCTCTGCAACCATGTGCTTTACTTATCCATCACTCTGCTTCAAAATATTATGACATATCCACTGCCAGTGAAAGTGGCCCTGGTGAACCTCCTTTTGCAAAATGCTCAGCTTGCCATGTTTGTGTCAAGAAATTTATCACTGAATTAGCAGCAGTGTGTCCAAATGGGGAAAAGAATGTCTAGCAATCGTATTTTCCTTGGAATCAACCAGCGTAAAAGAGGCCAAATTTCTATCTCAGTTGACACAATGCTCATAAACCACTGAGAGCCATTTTAAAGAAGCTGTTATTGTCCAGTCCAAAATGCTCCCAGCACATGCAACAGGCTTAGAAGCACCATCTTAAAAAAAGAAAAGACATCAGATGTTTATAGAGAATTTGCTGTACAAGTCACACTGGCTGCAGGAAATATAGACAGACAAACGAGACTGTGAAATATTCAACTTACATGAAGCAAAGGAAGTTCCAGAAGAAGGCATTAATCAAAACACCCCAAAGTCAGGACAAGATTTATAAAGCTACATAACTGGACAATGAGCTACAAATCCTGATATCTGCCATTTTAGCAGGACAGCCAAACCCCCAGCAAGTGTTATTGTTGCAAGGATGACCTCAGTGTCTGAGATGGCATCATATTTACATGGAGCTGCATGTCAGACAAAGTGATGCTCCCACAGATTCCCAATCAGGTCAGGTAAAGCAATCACAGGGAATATGCAACATTGCTAAACGGACTTTGGATCCAAATGGGAACATACCTCTTTGTGGAGAGTGACAGTACTGTTTGAACCCAATGGATTTCAGAGGAGATTTGGGATTTCAGAGAAGCTGCTGTATATCACCAGAGTACGGTAACTGCAGGAAACAAAGGGCTGAACTAGATGTAGCAATATTCATTACTCAGGGGAAACTGAGGCACTGCAACATGGCTGGAGGGCGACCAAGATGATAAAGGGTCTGAAAACCAAGCCTTATGAGAAACAGTTGAGGGAACTGAGCATGTTTAGACAGGAGAAGAAAAGACTGAGAGGAAATATGAGAGCCAAATATCTGAAGGGCTGTCTCATGGAAGGTGGAGCAAGCTCGTTTTCTGCTGCTCCAGAGGGCAGGGCCTGAACCAATGGAATCAAATGACAAGAAAGGAGATTCTCACTAAAAATTAAGAACTTTCTGACCATCTCAGACGGAGGTGGACCCTTTTTCATTGGAGGTTTTTAAACAGAGTTTTGATGGCCATCTGTCAGGGATTCTTTAGCTGTGATCTAACATTGCAGGGGGTTGGACTAAATCAGTGTTGGCCAAACTTGATCCTCCAACTGTTTTGGTCTACAACTCCCATCATCCCTAGCTAACAGGACCAGTGGTCAGGGATGATGGGAATTGTAGTCCCGAAACAGCTGGAGGGCCAGGTTTGGCCAACACTGGACTAAATGATCCTTGGGATCCTTTCCAGCTCTGCAATCCTGTAATTCTATGGCTATGCTGCTCTGATGGGCACAGGGGAAGGGACCACAATTCTGCCAGGCCCTCTTGGCTGTGGTTTGGAAGATGCTGCTTTCTCAGACTCATCTGAGGGCTCCCCACCCCTGAGAAAAACTGTGTGCCATCTTTAAAGGGCCTGTGGTCAATTCTGCAGCCACATGGTTCTGAATGCCTGTAGAACAAATGCAGCTTCTGGGGTAGCATCTTCAGACTTTGGAGGTGGTTGGAGAATCACATCCTCAGGCCAGGAAGTGCAGGAGGAGGTGCTGAGGGCTCCCCCACCCCCTCAAAAGGTAAAGTGACTATAGAATTATATGGATTGGAGCCTTCCTCCAGTTGACATTGGGAACCTGAGCATGATTCCATGCTAGGACTTCTTCATGCAGCACATAGTTAAACTATGGAACTCCCTCCTACAGGAAGCAGTGATGGCCCCCAACTCAGATGGCTTTAAAAGAGGATGAGACAAATTCATGGAGGAGGAGAGGGCTATCAATGGCTATAAGTCAAGATGGCTCTGCTCTGCCTTCTTGGTCGGAGGCCATAATGCTCCTGAATACCAGCTGCTGGAAACCACAAGAGGGGAGTGTGCTCTTGTACCCGGATCCTGCTTGCTGGTTTCCCTTTGGGGCATCTGGTTGGCCACTGTGAGTACAGGATGCTGCACCAGATGGGCCATTGGTCTGATCCAGCAAAGTCTTCTCATGCTCTTATGTCATGTTCTTTGCATCTTCTAGGATAATCAGGACACTGCTGGATTGGGACAATGTCATGAGTTCTCTTCACAACCCAAGGATGATTCTATTGCAAAGGAAACATAAGAACTCACGTTATTTGATAGGTATGAGTTGTATTTTCTGGCCAGTCCACCAGACACACCACTCGGCCAGGGAGCTCGGCTGTTGTTGCGTAGTAGCCTTGTGGGAATGACAGCAATAAAGCCAGTAACCAGATGACACAGATGACGACCTTGGTGGCTGAGGCCGATAGCCTTGGTTGCAGCGGGCGGATAATGGCCATATACCTGGAAGAGGGAGAAATTAAAATGTAGGAGCAGAAAGTAAAAAAGGAGAAGGGGCTCCTCACCCCCCGTATGTTTCCCCCAATTCTTTAAGGCCAACTTTGCCACCCAGGTGCCCCCCAGATGTGTCGCACTACAACTGCTCTCCACTCCAGGACAGCGTGGCCGTATGAAGTTAGGATTGATGGGAACTGTAGTCTAAAGCACCTGGAGGGCACCAGGTTTTGGAAGGCTGACCTAAGGAATGGTGATGTTGGAAGATTCACAACAGATAGAAGAAAGTCCTTCTTCACACAGCACATAGTTAAACTATGGCACTTGTTCCCATAGGAGGCAGTGATGGCTGCCAACCCGGATGGCTTCAAAGGAGGATTGAACAAATTCAGGGAGGAGAAGGCTTTCCATGGCTACTAGCAAGTGGCTCTGCTCTGCCTCCACAGCAGGAGGCAGCAATGCTTCTGAATATCAGTTGCTGGAAACCACAGGAGGGGAGAGGACTCAGGTCCTGATAGCAGGTTTCCCACTGGAGCTCCTGGTTGGCCCCTGTGAGAGCAGGATGCTGGACTAGATGGGCCCTTGGCCGGATCCAGCAGGCTCATAGCGTTGTTATGATGCAGCCTTCCTCAGTCACCCTCTATTTCCTGAGGGGAAATCCAAGGGAACATGGAGTAGGATCTTTTCTGTGTTGGCACCCATGATGCTTATTTACTAAATATCGGTGTTTCCCGATCCTGATAGAGGCAGCAGAAAGTTAGCTCACCAATTCCACCTATGCTGTCAGATTGGAAAAGTTACCTGTTTTTAAAATGTTCCAAAATCTTTATTAAGCCAATACCTTTCCAAGAACAACCAAAATGTCCTAGAATGTGCAAGCTTTTCAGTTCCCTAGAACTCTTCATCAGGCTAGATGAAAGGAAGTAAGGAGCAGGAGTAAAGAGACAAAAATGACTGGTTGTGCATCATCTGTGTCTGCCCAAAGGTCTCTTTAGAAGGAGCAGCAGCAGCTTTCATACCCCACAAAAGAAAAAACCAAAACCCTCTACAGTACTTAATTTGTATCAAGCTGAAGTCTAGTCTTTTTGAGAGGAGTGAGCCAGATGCCTCTGGATCCCCACATAAAAAGAACAGGTGAGCCACAGCTCAGCAGGGCCAGCCCAAGGCACCTCTCTCTGCTCCATGCAGAGGAGTCAAGCAGACCGGCAGCTGATTCTAACTTCAACACTGTTGAACAAGCAGCATCCGCTACCTCACCTGAGGCAGCAGGTGAGTTCAGGGTGGTCAGCACAGTCCATGCAGCAATCCCAGGTCTCCCCTCCAACAGAGGGGGGTGGCTGAGGGGAGCTCAGGAGGAGCAAGCAGGGGGCAGCCGACCCCCAGCAGATACCACCTGAGCCAACTGACTCACCCCAACCAATGGAAGAGCATGAGCATTCGTGGGCACTGTGTTGCTGACTGCATTATAGGAAATAAAGCTTTTCTGAGCTGACGTGCTTTGCAGTGGTATAACCTTCTGAATCCTCCTTGGCAATGTGTCAGCTTAGCCAGTTGTTGCTTTCCTTGCCTTGGCAGCTCGTGTGATACCCAAAGCAAAGGCCAAAAAGTCACATGAGTGAGATGTCAAAGAAAGGCGGGAGCCACTGCTAAGAAGGCCCTCTGCCTGGTTCCCTGTAATTTCACATCTCGCAATGGGTGAAGACCTTCAGAGCCGGACCTCGGTCTCCGGGCTGAACGATGGAGGTGGAGACCAGGTATACAAAGCTGAGGCCATTTAGGGCTTTAAAGGTCAGCACCAAGAATATCAGAGGAGCTGGCTGGATCAAGCCAACAGCCCATCTAGTCCAGCATCCTACCCTCATAGTGCCCAACCAGATGCCTTTTTGGAAACTGGAAAGCAAGACCTGAGCACAAGAGCAGCCTTCTCCCTTCCTCTGGCTTCCAGCAACTGGTATTCAGAAGCATTCCTACATCTGACCATGGAGACAGAGCAGAGCCATCATGGCTAGCAGCCACTGTTTGCTGTATCCTCCTCCATAAATTTGTCCAGCCCTCTATTTGGTCACCATCACTGCCTCCTGTGAGAGTGAGTCCCATGTGTTGTGTGATGAAGTACTTTTTTGGTATTTGTCCTCAGTCTTCCAGCATACCCAGCTGTTCCTCTGCAATCTGCCCAGGGTGGCAAACACATCCACAATAAAACTTTTTTTAAAAAAGCATTCTAAAAACAGTTATCACATTCTAAACACAATCACAGGTTTGCAAACCCACTTTAGAAAACCATGTGTAGGCAAACTAAGGCCCGGGGGCCGGATCTGGCCCAATTGCCTTCTAAATCCGGCCCGCAGATGGTCTGGGAATCAGCGTGTTTTTACATGAGTAGAATGTGTCCTTTTGTTTAAAATGCATCTCTGGATTATTTGTGGGGCATAGGAATTTGTTCATTCCCCGCTGCCAAAAAATATATAGTTCGGCCCCCCACAAGGTCTGAGGGACAGTGGACCGGCCCCCTGCTGAAAAGATTTGCTGACCCCTGATCTAAACAAAGTAACTCTGAGCAAGAATCTTCCATTGGACCTTAATAGATGGTGGGAGCTTAAGTGTCAGGCTCATGTTGGGTGATGGTTTGGTACACACAGTTGTGGTGACCGTTCCCAGTCCGCCCACCTCAGCAGTGACCTGAACCTGCTCAGTGATGGGAACAGGCAGAGCCCACCTTCCAGAGGACTCCAGATCTTGAGCTATGAGTGAATAGAGCTGTATTTATCAGCAGCACTGAAAGAGAATGGGCCCACTGCCAAGCAAGAAAACTTAACACTCCATATATTTCCTCCTCAAGTAAAAGAGGAACAACACATAAAGCGACACCACTTTTTCTTATTTTACTATTACATTGTGGCCTTTCAGATATTTCCATGACAACAAAGCATTTCTCAAGTTCAACATGGCACCCAGATGGTCCTTAGCACAAGAGGAAAACACTTGGAAGGAACTGAGTTGTTTGTTGTTTTCCGAAGGGTGACTGTAGAGCTAAAAGAAGGGGCCTCATTCCAGCCTCAATGGAGGCAAGGAGAGGGGCGCAATAAGCACATCTGACATTTTTATGAGATGCCAAAGGGTCCTGAAATGTTCACAGACAAAAGGCCACATGTAAAGGCTATTTGTCCACAAGGGTGATCAGGAATGAGCAGACTAAACTCCACCACACCCATCATAAGAGCTGGATCAGGCCAACGACCCATCTAGACCAGCATCCTGTTCTCACAGTGGCCAGCCAGATGTCTATGGGAAACCTAAGGAGGATTCACAAGAGCCCCATCCCCTCCTGTGGTTTCTGGCGGCTGGTATTCAGAAGCATTTCTGCCTCCAGCTGCAAAAGGAGAGGCCAGAGATTGTGTGAGAAATTTAGCAAGTATTTGCAGCAGCCTTCCCCAACCTGGTGCCCTCCAGGTGTTTCTGCTTCCAATTCTCATCAGCCCCAGGCAGCATGGCTGTGCTCCCATTGGCCCTTCTGCCTTATGGTTGTTCTGGCTGGGGCTGATGGGAGTTGATGTCCAAAAACATCTGGAGGGCACCACGTTGCCAAAGGCTGACCTATGGTTTTCTATGCCTGTGGTGCTGGATGCACACACCCAGAGGAGTCTTGCAAATATAAAACATTAGGAGAATAAAATCTTCACGAGGAAACTGTGTGATGCTTCATTAGAGGTTATTGCTGAAATGTCAGGAGAGGGAGAGCACAAATGGAGCAAGTCCCTTTTCCCTTGTCATGCAATCACTTTCTCATGAAAGTTACGAGTTGTGGAATGGGCCATCGCTTGTGTGCAAACTACAGAAAAGGAAACAATTGAAAGTCAGCTGTGATAAACAGCCTTTTTAAGCCACTGGGAGAATTTTTACAGCCTGACTCCCATGTCAGATTTATAGGCTATCAAACTGGGGAACAGCCTCGCACAGCAGCGATCCAATTAAATTATGAAAGCCCAGCCCTAAATGGACTTAGTCGTAAGTCCCCTTGATTTCCATGGTGTTGACTCAAGAGGAAGTGCACTGGGAATCGCAGTCAAACACTCCTGAGGCATATTCCACACCAGCTGTGCATCATTTAATTACCGGTATGTCTGCCGCTTGAAATGTTCTCTGAATATTTGGGGAGAGAAGTCACAGCACACAGCTGAACCCTGAAGCATTTTTCACTCCCTTGCCAGGGCCTTGCAAAAGAAGAAAAAACCTCTCACAACAAGCTCAGACTCCATTAGGCCAAGAGACCTCACAATCCAGACGTACCCAGGTCCTGAATGCTGCTTTCATAGAATCATATACTGTAGTTGGAAGGGACCCCTAGGCTCATCTAGTCCAACCCCCTGCAATGCTGGCATCTCAGCTAAAGCATCCATGACAGATGGTCATCCAACCTCTGTTTGAAAACCTCCAAGGAAGGAGAGTCCAGCACCTCTCGTGGGAGTTGGTTCCACTGCTGAACGGCTCTTACTGTCAGAAAGTTTTTCTGAATTTTTAGTCGGAATCACTTTTCTTGTAACTTGAAGCCATCGGTTCGAGTCCTACCCTCCATAGCAGGAGAAATCAAGCATGCTCCCTCCTCCATGTGACAGCCCTTAAGATATTTGAAGATGGCCATCATATCTCCTCTCAGTCTCCTCCTTCAAGCGCTCCTCATAAAGCTTAGTTTCCAGACCCTTGATCATCTTGGTTGCCCTCCTCTGCACACGTTCCAGCTTGTCAACATCCTTCTTAAATTGTGGTGCCCAGAACTGGACACAGTATTCCAGGTGTGGTCTGACTAAGGCAGAATAGAGTGGTACTATTACTTCCCTGGATCTGGACAGTAGACTTCTGTTGATGCAGCCTAAAATCACATTAGCTTTTTTTGCTACTGCATCACCCTGTTGACTCATGTTAAGCTTGTGGTCCACCAAGACCCTTTTCACATGTACTCCGAGTTTCAACCCTTCCCTCTTCCGCCTCTCCCGCTGGGATTCTCAACCTCATGTTTCCTCTTGCACCTTTTGAAATGTTCTTCAAGACTTAACTTTTCCCCTCTGGTTTTTCCTCCTTCATATCTTTCATTTGCATATTTTTTTTGTTTACCGAGGCCTTTAATAAAATAAGAAGAGCACCTGCTGGATCAGGCCAATGGCTCACCTCACCCAGCACCCTGTTCTCTCAGTGGCCACCCAGAGGCCCCAATGGGAAGCCACAAGCACAAGAGCCACTGTCTCCTTCTGCAGCTTCCTGCCACTGGCATTCAGAAGCCTCACTGTCTCTGGCCATGGAGGCAGAACATGGGCCTCATGGCTAGAAGACACTGATAGCCTTCTCCTCCATGAGTCTGTCCAATCCTCTTTTAAAGCCATCCAAGGCTTCAGATGTGAGCCATTTGTTTTGACCGTTTAGGCTACTTTTTGTACTGACAGTTAATGCAGCTGGAATTATTGTATTGTTGTTATTGTATTGGGTATGGGGCTTATTTTAACCCTCCCCCAAGATGTTTTCATGATAGGTGCTTGAGAAATAAAAGGGCATCCTCTCTTTCCTCGGCTCCCTTTTCTTCCATCCAAAAGGTCCATGATGACTCACATCCTTCTCTTCTGCTGCTGCCTCCTCAGAGTTCCAGTGGGCAGGCAGAGCATCTCCAAGTGGAGCACTGCACATCCCAGAAATGTGGGGGAGGACTCAATGGCGACAAAGGATCCATGCCCAATTGGCAGGGAGAAAAAGCCACAGAGGTGTGGGGTGTGGGGGTGTCCCCAAGCAGGGAACCAAAGGAGAGCCAAGAGGTCTGAGGAGCTTACAATCTAAAATAACATAGCAGAAACACTTGGAAAGTCAGGAGTCAGAAATCAAGCAAGAGTGCAGTGAGCAAGCTAGTGGGGAGGAGAGAGGGACAAAAGGTCACAGAGTGGCTAGGACAACATCTAGAAGACTGGGAGGGGGGCTAAACACAAGGGCATTAAGAGTGATAGAGAGGAGAAAGGGAAGAGTGTGTGCTATGAAGAAATGGTTCAGAACATAAGAAGAGCCTGCTGGATCAGGCCAATGGGCCATCTAGCCCAGTATCTTGTTCTCACAGGGGCCAACCAGAAGAGAAGCTGAGCATGCAAGTACTCTTGCCTCCTGCAGGGGGAACTGCAGCTGTGGAGGCAGAGCAGAGCCATCCTGGCTAGGAGCCATCGATGGCCCTCTCCTCCAAGAATTTGTCTCATCCTCTTCTAAAGCCATCCAAGTTGGTGGCCATCACCGCCTCCTGTGGGAGGGAGTTCCATAGTCTGTGCAGCATGAAGAAGTGCTTTCTTTTACTGGGAGAAGGTGGAGGAGGGTGAATATGTGGGAAAGAAAGGGGGTGATGGAAATATCATGGAGGTGAGTAAAAAAGTGTTGAGGTGCTATAAACACTTGAGTGAAAAGAATTCAGGTGGTGGCAGTGAAAGAACTGTGACTGATGGAGGAGCTGTCAGAGGAGTCATTTGGCAAGCTCTGACTAGGAGTCCTAAGGGAACATTGACGGGTCTGAGGGCCATTTCTACAGGGTCAGTTAAGTATAATTGGTTTAATTCAGGTAGGTAGCTGTGTTGGTCTGACGCAGTCTATATATGTGTGTGTGTGTGTAAATGTCCAGTAGCACCTTAGAGACCAACTAAGTTTGTTCTTGGTATAAGCTTTCGTGTGCATGTACACTTCTTCATATACACTGAAATAGAAGTCACCAGACCCTTATATATAGGTGGGAGGGTGGGGTGGGGTTTTTCCTCAGGAGGGTAGTAGGAGATGGGTGATTGATTCAATGGGTATGGTAAACCTGTTGATGACTGTTAACGATTGCAATTAGTCCTACAGGAAAAAACAAGGGATAGTATGCAGATGATTAGCATATGTAATGAGACAGGAATCCGATATCTCTGTTAAGACCAGGTCTCTCCATAGTTTTCAGTTTAGTGATAAATTGTAATTCAGCAACTTCCCTTTCAAGTCTGTTTCTGAAATTCTTTTGTAAAAAGACAGCTGCTTTGAGATCCTGTATTGATCTCACACAGTTTAATTCACACAGAAATGGGAAAATGCTTATGTGTATTAATCAAGGTTTAACATGAAGAATAACTAAATGTATATTGTTACCATTTGGGTCTTTCCACAGTAGCTTTCTAAGTGGTTGCTAAGCTTCTTAAAGGGTTAATGATTATGTGTTGGTTGTTTTCTAGCTCTAAACTGAATGCAACTTTTGATCATGTGATGAAGCTGTTGACTAGCAAATTCGCCATCTTGAAAGGGTGGTGGCTTTAGTCTTTCTCTGAATGCCACACAGAACAAAAGCATGTCAATGGCTCCCCAAGATCTACAAAGCCTTAAGCAGGGTAAGGCAGGCTGGAATAGGAGAGAGAGAGAGAGACACCTTTTAATTATTGGAGTTGTATTTTATTTCTAAGATTCTGGGTCTGTGCTGGACAGCACAATACATTGTATGGATATGTTGAATGTATCATTTGATGTTTCTGCTTCGTTTTGGAGATTTCAGTAATATTTAATGGGTCTGGACAATGCTTCACTTCCAAAAGGAGTCAGTGATGGTGCCCTCAAGGCTAAGGGGTGGGCCTTTCCTCCACCCTCCTCCTCCAGCTGCTACCTAGGAGAAAAATAGCTGAGGTGTGTGTGTATATAAGGGGATGAGCTGGAAGAAGGCTGGGAGCTGGAGACACAGAGACCTGCTTGCTGTGTGCTGGATCCAAAGTTGTGACCAATGGAGAGGCAAGATCTGTTGGGGTGTTAATGCTGTGAGTCCCTCCACCTTTTATGTGTGTAAATAAAACCATATATCCTAAAAACAACCACAGTCTCCTCATTCCAAGGAAACCAGAACTGGGTAAGTAGCTGGATTCTCTCACCACTCAGATATTGGGGTGGCATGTAAGAGCATGTCTCTGGTGCCCGGTGATGAGAAGAGCCTTGATCTCATCAGAGTGAGAGGGTCACTAGTTGTCCCTGGCATAGAAGAGACAAGCCAGTGCTCTGGAGACACTTGGAACCCCCAGAGATGAAGAGGGGAAACTGTTTCTCACAACTAGCATGTTTCCTTGTCCTTCCTCATTTCCAAGCAGCACTACAGAGGAAAGATCCCAAAATACCCTGATCCCTAATCCAGTGGGAGCAATAAACCAATCTGTCACTGGACCTTCAAGGCCAAAGAGAACCAAGCAGGGTGGCATACACAGTGCGCTTGGTTTCCTTCAACAAAAGCTGGGGGAAGGCTTCTGCTTCCTACATTTGTCAAAGGAAAATAGTCATCTCCCCTTTTTTGTGTAAAAATGCAGTAATAACCAGGTGGCAATGATATTATGCTTTAGTGTGTTTAGTGTGAGATTCACAGATGGTATCTCACAACAGCTCTGCAGAGTGGTCACTATTTCTGCTCTGAATATAATCTGCTCTGAACCCTGAGGTAATCAATTTCAGCCAAGAATGCTTGCAACTGTGCTGGCACAACCCTCTCAGTCACCTTCTCCAAAAAGGGGGATTCTGTGACTGGGCATTAGTTGTCACAAACCAGTAAGTCCAAGGTGGCTGGATGTTGATTCAAGGCGGTTGAATCAACACATCTTTTAAGATGTCAACATGTAACTCATCAGGATATACTGACATTTTTGCTGGTCGCTGCTCATTAAATGTTGGCTTTCTATAACAGGCCTGTCGACAGACTCATGTTCTGCTCAGGTGTAGCCTGCTGCTCTGGTTGAGAAATTGACCTGTCCAGTCAAGGCAGTCAGAGGCAAGATCCAGGGCCAGCCCACCCATAAGACTGGGTGAAGCAGCACACTTCAGGCAGAAGAATCCCACGGGGCTGCCCTGACTTTATTCTTTTGCAACACTTGGCATCCATTTATCTCCCATACGAGACACAACAATCAATCACCACCCTAGAGAGACACTTATTGCATTAGAAACTTTAATATTTATCATAAACTTAGTCCCACCTTTAAGTTGCTGTTACGCTTGTTTCCTAAGAAATAAGACTACTTACTTGCTATTGTTGTTGTTTATTACATGTGAAAAAGCAATATAAAGATACTTTTAAAAAAGAATGTGTTGATCCTGGACCCAGACAGCCACCCCCCCCCCCGAAGACATGCCTTAATAAACCAAGAGGGGCTAAGTTTGGGGGAGGCGCCTTGTCCACATCCTCAGGCTGCATCAGCTGAAATTGAGCCCATGATGTCAAAGATGTTGTTGTGCTGGAAATTGCTGCAAAGTCAAGATTCCTAAGGAGGCGAGTTCAAACAAAGGCTTCTGAAGGGTCTAAATCTTCACTGTGAGCCTTTTTTAGCTGAGCAGAGGGCTAAAAATCTCAGCAACATCAATATGACAAGCAATTCCTAGGCTTGGCACTGTCAGTAGAAGCGCAGGAGGGGCTGGGGCTGGGAGGACCTTTTATCTGCTTAGGCTGATTTGCCAGTTGCAACCTTATCGAGAAAAAAGCAGAGCTTGCCACAATCTTGATTATGTCCAGATTAGACTGGTGTTATGTCTCTATGTGGGGCTGCCTACCTGAAGCTGTTCATTTGAAGGCAATTGGAGTATATAACATTTATTGGGCATGAGTTGAACTAGTTGCCAGTTTGTTTCTGGGCCCAATTTAAAAGCTTTTAAAATTTTAAGCTCAAAACAAATTATTTGAAAGGACTGCCTGTACCTGAACAAACCTGCCTGCTCCTTAGGATTGCTCCCTGTGACTCCTCAAGAGCCCACAACCAGGGAGGTCAGATAGGGATGATTTAGCTGTGATTCCTGCATTGCAGGGGGCTGGACTAGATGGCCCTTGGTAGCCCTTTCAACTCTACAATTCTGTGATTCTATCAGAAGTATTGCATTGGTAGGCATAAAGACTGGCTCATTTTCAGTCATGTCCGCATCTTTATGGAGCCCCTTCCCATGGCAGGTATGTGTGGACCCTACACTGATGGTTTTTTAAATAGAATCATAGAATCATAGAGTTGGAAGAGACCACAAGGGCCATCGAGTCCAACCCCCTGCCAAGCAGGAAACACCATCAGAGCACTCCTGACATATGGTTGTCAAGCCTCTGCTTAAAGACCTCCAAAGAAGGAGACTCCACCACACTCCTTGGCAGCAAATTCCACTGTCGAACAGCTCTCACTGTCAGGAAGTTCTTCCTAATGTTTAGGTGGAATCTTCTTTCTTGTAGTTTGGATCCATTGCTCCGTGTCCGCTTCTCTGGAGCAGCAGAAAACAACCTTTCTCCCTCCTCTATGTGACATCCTTTTATATATTTGAACATGGCTATCATATCACCCCTTAACCTCCTCTTCTCCAGGCTAAACATGCCCAGCTCCCTTAGCCGTTCCTCATAAGGCATCGTTTCCAGGCCTTTGACCATTTTGGTTGCCCTCCTCTGGACACGTTCCAGTTTGTCAGTGTCCTTCTTGAACTGTGGTGCCCAGAACTGGACACAGTACTCCAGGTGAGGTCTGACCAGAGCAGAATACAGTGGCACTATTACTTCCCTTGATCTAGATGCTATACTCCTATTGATGCACTCCAGAGACTTTGCAACAAGAAAACAAAGTGCCTTCAACTTGATATTTTAGTTAGTTTGCATTTTCCTGCTGCAGTTTGTAAACTTATTGGATTTATTGGTAGCATTTATATTTATATGGGCTTTCTGCTTATACTGCTTTATTGCTGCCATTATAATGTTTTTAGATGTTTTAGCATTTTGTTGATTGTGGTTTTACAGTTTGCAGTTCTGTAATGAATCTGTTTTATCTTTTTTATATGTTGTGAGACAACTTGGGAGCTGTCATCCTTAGTTGCCCTTCTAAGGCATGAGACCTTGGAAATGGCAGCAAAGCTCATCATTTTGCTTTCCTTGGTCCTTAGTACATACCCTTCGGAAGCCCAGTTTTCCCTACACAGTGCTCCATCTATCTCCAAAATGATGTCCTAGAGCTTTGGGGTGTTCAGAAATGGGCCACCAAAACAAGATAGGGGTTGGTAAACCTTCTGTATAAGGAAAAGATAAAGCGTTTGCAACTTTTTGGTCGGGGAGGGGGTCAAAAAGACAATTGGAGGAGCATGATAGAGGTCTATTAAAAAAATGACAAGACATCCAACCCCCTGCAGCGCAGGTCATCAGATGAAACTGATTTTCATGAGATTCTGGTCAGACAAAAGGAACAACTTCTTTGCACTGTGGACAGTTGCTTAGTAGAATTAAGCTGCCTTATACCATCAGCCCACTAATCCAGCACAATCCACCACCCTTGTGCACAATGGCTCACAGCTGCTCTCCAGCATTTCAGGTGAGTGTCTCTTCCAGCCCTACCTGGATATGCTGGGGCTGAACCTGGCATCTCCCCCCAGCATGACCATGCTCCCATCAGCACCAAGATCATATGGTTGTGCTGGCTGGGGGCTGATGGGAGTTGCAGTCCACAAAGCACTGGAGGGCATTAGGTTGGGATACCACCGGGTTCCAGAGCACCATGAAACCCAGAAGGACAGGCAGCTAATCCCAAAAAGCATAGCCAAAAGGAATCGGACCTATGAAATCGCCAGAGTTAAACTGCGGTGTTAGCCTGTATTGTACTGCCTTGTTTTGCAAAACGTTTGCCATTTGGGTATGGAAAACCTTCATTCTTTACTTGATATTCAGAGGAGCTCTTGTGCGCAGCCAGCTGAGACCTTACAGATGTTCACGGCAGACCAAACATCTTGTTGAGAAGTGATTCAGACACTCATTAGAACATATCAGTTCAAGCACATGAACAGCATACTGTATTTCCACCTATTTATCACGACACACACACACACAGTACCATTGCGAGTTCCTAAGGTGCACACCTCCTGCATTTCTGGGATGAAGGACGGGGTTGTAGCACAAGGGATGCTTACGAGGAGCTGAAGGGGAATCACAAGGGCTTTTTGCTCTGCCAGTCTGGGGAACCCCACCTTTACCCCCACGGATAGAGAAATGTGCAAATCTCCATGGGGCTCACCACATAAGAGGCCAGTTCTTGTGCTGCCACCCTTTGGACCTCTTGTGGAGGAAGCACACAAAGAAGGGCCTCATAAGATGATCACAGGTCCATCTGCTTGGTGGCTTTGATGGCTGGTAGCTGCTAACCTGGGCACAAACCCTGCTTCCTCAGGGGATGGCAGAAGCAGTTTGGGAATTTTAAAGGAGACAAAAGAGCACAGAGGAGCTGATGTTTGCTTGGGAGGGATCCAATGTTGCTTTAAAGATCAGCTTTGCCTGATCTTCTAAATAAACACATATTCCTCCCCACCCCTAAAAAACAACATCCGATGGTGAGTCTCTCCTCAGACGGATCCTGATTTTGTTCCTGTGAAAGGTTGGCCAAGGAACTTTTGTTCCAAGAAACATTAATAAATTTCTAGCTCTGCTTGTATGCTTAAAAGAAAATTTGGAAGCACCAGAGGCCGTCACTACTTGCAGCTGCTACTCTCTCAGCACCACAATAATCCCTAAAGCAAATCAAGATATTTTTTAAAACAATGCTATTGCCCTTTTTGTAGAGCATCAGAGAGCATTGTTTAGAGAATTACTTTGAAAATGCTTCTCAAAAGTTGGAGTAATTCAATGAAAAATTTTGGTCCTCATCAGGGGATTTGTTCACCTCATTGTCATCATTATTTGGGATATGAATTATAGGAAACCATTTTGAAAGAGTACATTTTGAAAGCTCAAAATCACCCAGCCCCCTGCGATGGAATATTATTCCAGAGAACAACTGCCTGGCTCAAACTTCAAGAAGCTTTCAGAATACAAACACGGCTGCTATTGACAGAGATTAATCACTTGCACTAGGAGAGCATCGGTGATGTGATATTCTGTGTTTCTTTGCCATTTTTCCTGCTGTGGATGAGTAGCAAATGCAGTTGTCTTTGATACTGGTTCGGTATTTTCATAGCAGCTTTTACACAGCTGTTGTGTGCCTGCCCATCTGAGTCATTGGGAGAGGTGTTAATCTTCTAGGGCACATCAAAATTGGAAACACTCTTCTCCCTTTGATGCAAGCGCTAATTTCAGATTTGCAGTTTGCAATCTCTGATCCTTGCATTTGCTGGGATGTGTCAGTGTTGTGAGCTTTGAGCTTGTTGTCTTGTACGCTGAGCATATTTATGTGCATGGTGCGTTTGTCCAGAAAATTAAGTTACTAACTGGAACAGCAAATGTTTCCCACGACCAATGACAGAACCTCTAAGCATGACCTTAGAGGAGCTTTCTGCAACCCAGTGACCTCTAGAAGTTTTGTTTTTTTTTTTATTATAATTTTTTAATTGGTTTTTCACATTTTATAAAGACATAACACACACGTAAAAGACAAAGACAAAAAACATGTATAATTTCAAAAATCTTGCTTTCTTAACTTTGGTCCTTGACTTCCCCCCACCCCCCCTTCATACATCCCAATTCCCATAATTATGTCAGCAAGTTATTATTTTACCTCCTTACCCTGTTAATATTACATCTTTTGTAGAAGATTAAATTCTATCCTAAGTTGGGCTCAGATTCCCTTCCATCGATTTCCCATTTTTTATTAAGCATCAATCATATTGACTAGACCCAAAAGTCGTAAGTGTTTTTAAAATTCTATTTTCCCCCCCTCCCATCCCCGGTTCGTCCCTTCCCAAGTACATTTCTACAATAACAGTTCTTAGCCTGGATTTCTCACATCCGAGGCCTTCAAGTCTCTTTCAGTCCCTCTCCGCCGGTTTTGTTGGTAGTCCTTTATGTTGGTCTTCGGATCTCGAAGGAGTTCTGTCCCAGTCAAGCCAGATTTTCTTCCCACAAGAAAACTTGGAGACAACTGCTGCAAAAGTTCCACCAGTCCTTCATATTCAGAATGGAGGCCCCCATCATATTTCTTCTTTCTTTTAAGTTCTTGAATTCCAAGTACTCCAGGGGCCTCCTCCTTCATCTTTCGCATCTTTTGCAGATTTGTAATCCATGTAATCCAAGGGTCTTCTTGTTTATAATCCACATGTGTAGGCTTCTGGTTGGTACTTTCCATCTGTGCTTTCTCCTTTCCTTGTTTAGTCTCCTTCAATTCTTGAGATATCTGTTCCGGTTCAGCTGCAGATTTTTTCTCATTCAGATCCTCAATATATTCAGCAGAGTTGCTTATTCCAGAAGTCAAGGTCGTAAGTTGTTTATTCATAGCCAGACTCTGCTCTTGTAAAGTTCCCACAAAGTAACACATTCTTTCTATTTCAGCTAGTAAATTTCCATCCGCAGCCATTGTAATGTCTCAGAATTCCCCTAGAGGGAATCTGGTTACTTAGTAATCTTTTCCCAACAGTCCTTTGCCTCGTTCTTTGTTTCTTTGTTTCGAACCACTTTAATTCAATTGTATCACATTTAGTCCAGGGAGATCTTAAATAACACGCTTTTTACTTTAAGTTGCCCGTTTGACAGCTTTAACAGCTGTCAAACTCCTTTCCTCTTCAACAGGCTCAAAGGCAGGACGCTCCCGGGCCCGGAAGGGGGGGGTTACACACCACAAGAGAAAAACTTCTAAAATTCCACTCTTACACTCCAGCTCAAAACTTCTTTTATCAAATCGTGAAAGTTAATGTCTTTTAACTCACCCCAAAGGGGTAGACTCTCCAACTTAGTTCTCCTGCTATTGCTTTAAATCGTCTGCAGAAGGGGGTGCGGACTTCCCTTTAACACATCCCCGGTCGTATCAAATTCACAGATAGATATTTTAAAGTCCGAATTCCAATCTACTCACGGGTTGCTTCTTTTCGAGTTCCGAATTTAAGGAAAGTCAGTGCTCTTCAGCCATGGCACACGGCTCCGCTCCGCTGGGGTAGCGGTCTACTCCCAGCACCACGCCGCTTCCGTACCCTCTCCGTAGCCTTTAAAAGGCTCTTCGTGGGTCGGGGGCGCTTAAGGTGCCCACCGAGTCACCAGGTCCGCAGGCATCCGCGCCTGCGGTTTTTGAGGGTCTCCGCGTCGCCGTCGCGGCAAGACCCGTCCCCAGCGGAGCCGATTCCCTCCGGAGCTCGGAGAGAATCCGCCATTAGCTGTTCGCACCAACCCGGAAGTCCCCTCTAGAAGTTTTGGACTACAATCCCCATCAGCCCCAGCCAGCATGTCTACATGACATGGGAACTGATGTAGTTCAAACATCAGAAGAGCTCTCAGTCAGGGGAAGACACACAGTGGCTGCACATTTAGCCCTGCCCTCGGGCAGTGCAAGTCCCCCTTCTGAAGTGGGGAATCTTTGGCTGAATTGTGCTGTTAGCATACGTGTGCGTGTGTGTGAGTGAGTGTGCATGTCTTATTTTCTAATTGTCTTTCCATGCATTTTGAGACTTGCAAGACTCATCTTGAGGGCAGCATGCCCAGGAAGGTGGGCTAAAAATCTTTTAAAGAGATACATAAAAACAAATCTCAGGATACACCCTCTGTGCAATTTAGAGCTCTATTCTTCTATGGTTTTAAAGCACATGAAGGAACCTAAAGAGATAGAAGAGTCTCCCAGTTTAAGAACATAAGTAGAGCCTAATGGATCAGGCCAATGGCCCATCTAGTCCAGCATCCTGTTCTCACCATTGCCAACCTGTGGGAAACCTGCAAGCAGGACCTGAATACAACAGCTCTTTCCCAACTTGTGGTTCCCTGAAACTGGTGTTCAGAAGCATTCCTGCCTCTTGTTTGAAATTGCATTCAAACATACCTATGCATGAGTGTTAGTTAGTGCACGAAAGGGTTAAGACCACAGAGTTAGATTCCTAGAGTTGGCTATGTCACACCCCCTCTTTTTCCGATGAGGGAGGAAGTCAAGCCTTCACTTCCTGTTCCCTGTCTCATATATCCTCCAACATTTCTCCAATGAAAATAGGGACATCTCATTCCTTAATGATAATTTTACTATTTATACCCCACACATCTTACTGGGTCGCCCCAGCATTCTGGGTAGCTTCTAACATATATAAAACATAATAAAACATTAAACATTTTTTAAAACTTCCCTGTACAGCTCGGGGGGTCAGATAACTCCATACCCTCCAGTGAAAATAGGGACGTCCTAAGGAAAAGCGGGACATTCCAGGATCAAATCATAAACCGAGATGGTTTCTCTAAATCAGCGATGTCCCTGGAAAATAGGGACACTTGGAGGTTCTGCTCTGTTTCTCTCTGCACCATGTAACTGACCGAGGAAGGTGTGTCCAAGCTAAGCTCCAAGCTTAGAACACCTGTTTGAAGCTATCTTTCTGTATTTTCTACCCAAGGGTATTCTGCCTGTGTTCTCCTTGCTGCTGCTTGGATAAATGCATGACTCTGACCTTTGGCTTAAGAGTGTGTGGTCTGTTCATTGCAGGAGGAGTAAAAAGGGAGAAGCACTTTGCTAGTCGACGAGACAGGAAATGCAAAAGGTTTAACAGCCTAAATTCCCATGGTATACTGCAGCTTGACTTTGAAATTAAACTCTACTACTAGTGTAGCCTTCTTTACCTATGGGTCTGGGTCCAGTCACCTCATACCCTCGCCAGGAGCATGAAGGAGTTAAGCAACGTCAGGGTGTGATTCCACAGAGAAAAAGTTTATTCGGTTACTGCGCAGCAGGTACCAGCGGAATTGCTTCCAAAGTCTGGCACACACATACAGGTCATGCAAAGCCTTTTATACATTGGTTTCCCCGCCCTGTTCAGCCCCCTGAGCCTATCCCATTCATGTGTCCAGCCCCCCACGTACTGACTGTGCTCGTGCCCAAGTCATGTACACCGCATGCTCAGGGTGTGCTTATCAGCAGGGAAGCTCGTGACTGTGGTTAGTACTGTGCATGTGAGGAGCGTGATCACCGCCTGGGCTTACTTGGGCCTTGGGCCTGTCTCATCAGGGCTGTTGTGATAAGATAAGAACAGGGCCTCTTTCTCCTTCATTAGAAGGGGGCCTCTTTCTCCTTCATTAGAAGGGGGCCTCTTTCTCCTTCACTAGTCCCCAGAAGTTTAGCCGCATGTTTTACATCTAGACTGACCCTGCCAATTCTTTTGTTATTTACCCAGCACACGTGAATCACAGAGATTCATATGTTTTTCTTCCCACACCTCTGACTGTGGAGGCAGAGTTCATCCCTTCACAACCTCACAGACAGGGCTAAACACACAGCCCCTTTGCACACGCGTTGCTGCTTTGTGCGAGTAACACAGCTCCAAAGGGAGTATAGTCTACTCTAAAGCCTCTGGAGAGTCTCAGTTGGTGAAGGCTGCTCAGAGATATTATCTGCTTAAAGCTGATCAAAATAAGAAGTTGCATATGATTTGACAGGCAGTGGAGAAAGAGCAGCGGAAGGAATGCTCTGCTAAGTCTTCCTTTCCAATCTCACCTGTGCTGCAAACTCAAATAAGCAAGTCACTCTCCTCGCGGCTTTTTCCTCTTCCCTCTGCAATCTGGGGAGAATAATACTGAGCTAACCCACTGGCCTTTCAAAAAGATCATGAAGAGAACGTGAAACAATTCCAACACTCTCAAGCCCCATGCAAATGCTGTGGCTGGCATCCAAAAAACTATTTTTGGCACATTTTGAGGGCCTGGGCATTATGAATGGATTTTTGTCACATATTTGTTTCCTTTCCACAAACAGCAGCCTCCCCCTCCCCTTCTAAAGTCAGTGTAGAAACTCCCCTTGGTTTCAATAAAAGTTTGCCATGAGGGATGGTTGGCTGAGAAACAGGAGACCCCCATCAGCTCACGTCCCCCTTTTTGCCGTTCTTTGGATCTAGGCCTTAAGCATTACGACATCAGGGCTTGTGGGTGAGATGCAGACGGACAGTTCAGGGCCAAGGGGGATTTCACATTAAGCCCATCTGATCTTCTCTCTTGCAGTTTGTCAATAAAAAGTTGTGTCCTCAAGAAGACCAAAGCAAGCATGGCAGAGCAGATTGCCCCACTTTCCTCCCCTTTTATTTTAATACAGAAGCAAAGCTGGGGAGAGGCTCCGGTTTTCATCAGAGCATCTTCCTGTCCCACCTCCCAGGGCAAAGGCAGAAGGCAACTGCACTCAGCTGCTGCTCTGGGGCTTTTCCTATGCCTCTGGTTGGCCAGTGGAAGAACAGAATGCCAACCTATATGAACTGAAGACATCCCTGTTTAGGGAAGTTTTTAATGTCTGATGTTTTATTGTATTTTTAATGTTTTGTTGGAAGCTGCCCAGAGTGGCTGGGGAAACCCAGCCAGATGGGCAGGGTATAAATAATAAATTATTATTATTACTTTTGGCCTGACCCAGCAGAATTCTTCTGATGTTCTTGGGCTCTTATAAAGGGGATGTTTAATCCTGCTCCCCTCTGCCATTCCTTGTTATTTACACAGGGGTGTAACTATGCCTGCATTTTTTTCTTCTTCTGTTGCAGGACTGATAGCAGCTTGGGAGGTGGGGAAATGATTTAGATTGGGGAAATGGTGCAGGAGGGAATGGGTTAAAAGTCTCCCTCCCAGCACTGCTGCTTTGATCAGAATCCCCCATGGCTGCTCTAAAGAGAGACACAGAAAGAAAAGGAGAGGGAGAGGGAGAGAGATCAGAAGTTCCTATCAGGAACCTCCCATATCTTGCTTGTTTTATTCCTCAGCTAATGCCAGGCCTGTTCCATGTCTTCCTTCCAAATCTGGGAGCAAAGCCTTTGCTGACTGCTGCTGACAAGTACATCTGCTACTCCAACAGTAAATTCTGCTCTAATGTGCATTTTGCACAGTTGTGCTGGCTGGGACTGGTGAGAGCTGTACTCCCAAACATCTGGAGGGCACCAGGCTGGGGAAGGCCGTGTGATGTGCTGTCATTGCCCAAATCTCCCCTGCACCACACTGTCGGCTTCTTCTTTCTCATCCTGGCAAGTTATTTGTTTCCACAACACACACAAAGATCAGGCTGAGTCCAGCACAGCCCATCATTACAACGTTCAGACAATTATTCCAAGCCACACAATATAATTTGGGACTCTCTATTGGCTAAATTAGGAAGCTGAAGGACTATGAAAGGGAGGGGAGGGGAAATGCAAGGAGTCTTTGAGGAGAAAGAATTAGACATGGATGCAGCATTCCATCAGTTGACACTTCTATGAAATCTCATCAGAAGGGTATGAGAAGGGAGACAGCCCTTCACCTCCTTCCCCCCTTGTTTTATCCCTTATTCTGCATTCTGCTCCTCCACACCCCACTCTTCTCCTCTATCTCAGCCAGCACACCAAGATCTGCAACAGACGCCTTGCTATCAGTTGCCACCTTATGCCCGAGTATGAGACCTCGGTGTGTGACAAAAACCTGCCTTGCATCTGCATAATCATTATTTGATGCCTATTACCATCAAGTGGAGGGACGCGGGTGGCACTGTGGTCTAAACCCCTGAGCCTTGGGCTTGCCGATCAAAACGTCAGCAGTTCGAATCCCCACAATGGGGTGAGCTCCCATTGCTCGGTCCCAGCTCCTGCCCACCTAGCAGTTCGAAAGCACGCCAAAAAGTGCAAGTAGATTAATAGGTACCGCTCCAGTGAGAAGGTAAACGGCATTTCTGTGCACTGCTCTGGTTTTGGTGTTCCGTTGCACCAGAAGCAGCTTAGTCATGCTGGCCACATGACCCAGAAAAACTGTCTGTGGACAAACACTGGCTCCCTCGGTCTGTAAAGCGAGATGAGCGCCGCAACCCCAGAGTCATTCACGACTGGACTTTTACCCTTTTACCATCAAGGGGTGACTTGGCACATGCAAATGTTGCAGATCTGTTCTCACAAATAGGAACTTTCATACCCTCCAAAGTGACTTAAAACAAAACAAAACTTTTCACATGTTCATGTGTATTTCAGATGCAAGTGTCAGAACAGCAAGATATGCATATGGATGAGTAAACCAGCCCAAGGAAGGATCTCATTGGGAACTTTATCTGTAACTGGGCAGGTTTAACATTAGTCACAATCCATGGAGGAATATGACTCGTGTTCATGGATACAAGTTTCTGGAGCCAAAATGGCCATATTTTGCATATTTGCTGAATCTTCATAGAATTATGGCATATACAGAAACCATCTAAATGCTTCTATTTGGTGTCACAAAGGCAACCCACTCTCTTACACATCCCACATAGGATCCGTATATCAGGACTAATTCTGTTGTCTCATTCTGATGACACTGCAGATGAGCCTTTTCCAACACAACATGCCTCCTTTTCAATTAACTCTCCAAGTGAAAACTAGTTAACTTGGAGAATGGAATGAGCAACACTCTAGAAACGAATCTTTTCCAGAGATAACGAGAATTCCTTACTTTATACCTTGGGAATGTTTTATAGTCGTCAACGGGGAAACCACACTGTTTTCCAATTTAGCTCCAATTGTGAAGGGCAGTGTGTATTCTATTCTGCTACTGCTCTGCAAGAACAAATGGTTTTCATTTCACAAAATGATATTGTGCTTCAAAATGCACATATGCATGCACACAAGAACCTCTAACGTGAGGAATATTGGAAAGTGGAGACCTTTTTTAAATTAAAAAGAAGAAGAATGCTAAAGCCAAGAAGAGCTTCACCACTGATAAACAGAAAGCTTTGAATTCCACCAGGTTACAGAGAGATGTTTACAATGTATGGGTGGCTAACAACTCTCTTCCCATGGGAACTATTAAAGAGGATTCTTTTCATTAAGGCAGCAGGTACTATTCTGCCACCATCACTCCAACTCTACAGTTCTATGATTCTTTCTCTCAGGCTCTTCTGAAACAGATGGAAGGTGAGGATGGTCCAAAGGGTCATCTAATCTTGGGCCTAGCCAGGACCTCATATTTGTATTGATTTGCATTGATTTTGATTGCTCACCCCCCTTGGCTACGCCCATGCATCTAATCCAGCACTCTGCAGTGCAAGAACCACAGCTAAAGAACCATTGAGCCTAGTGGGACTTCCTTCTGAGTAAACTGGCATAGGAATGTGTGGTGTGCCTTTTTAAAAACCTGTTTTTAACACCATGTTTTAAATCATTGCAACCCACTCCGGGTCTGTAGAGTGAAGGACAGTCATAAACTAAAACAGTAATACCACCACAACAAAAAGATGAGTTATTTTCAAGAATCAGTGGGGTATACTGAACACAGTGATATTCTTGGACGTAGCCAGAGTGGTCCAGGTGGTGACTGGTCCAGATGTTGTTGGACTCCAGCTCACATCAGCCATGCCAATTGGCTATGCTGGCTAGGGCTGGTGGGAGCTGGCGTCCAATAACTTATGGAGGGCCACAGGATAGACACCTTGCTTGCATTGTCTACTTTGTAAGGTTTTTGCAAGGATAAAATGGAATCATAATATATGTGGCTCTTGGAGCTCCTTGGATGAAAGGTTAAAAGACACCTCGCATTTTTACAATGCTTTTTTTAGTGTTTGACGTACTTTCCTTGTACTATTTCAATCCTATAGTATAAATCATCCCCGCAGGGGGATGAGGTTGAAAGAGTCACCAAGTGTGTTCTTGGTTGAGGTGAAATTCCAACCAGAGATGTTCTGGTCGCTCTTAACGACTCAGTTGAGTCTCATAAGAGTACAACAAGCTGTGATCAGTCTTTGGTTTCTTCATTTTAGGGCAATGATGCAAAGCCTGCCATTTCACAGGTGTGGAACTGAATGTGGGAGGTGCTAGTTTGCCCCAGGCATGTGTGAGACCAGGGAGGGATTTGAAGCCATATCTCCATGGTACAGCAGGACCCAAAAGTGGCTGGGGAAACCCAGCCAGATGGGTGGGTATAAATAATAAAATTATTATTATTATAAAAGGAATGTAACCCAAAAGAGTGGACTTTAGACAAATACATGGAGGGCAAGGCTCTCAACAGCAACTAGCCATGATAACTAGGTTCCACCTTCACTCTCAGAGATTAATATGCCTCTGAATAACAGCAGCTGGGAATCGCAAGTGGGCAGCATGTGCTCATGTCCTGCTTGCAGGCTTCACATCTGGACATCTGGTTGTCCACTGTAAGAAGAGGATGCTAGACTAAAAATGGGTTTGCTTTTGCCTGATCTGGTGGGGCTCTTCTGGTGGTCTTATGTGCGCTTCCAACATTACCTTTCTGCTGCATGTAAGGCTTTTGAATCTTTGTCAGGGTTGATTTGAAAACACCATATTCATATCCAATCTATATCCATTCCATCCTGAGGCAAGCTGTTTAGCATGATGTTTTTATTTACCTTCTGTGTTTTCGCACCATTTGTAAGTCAGGCTGAGACTGCTTGTAGAAGGTGCATAAGAAATCCAATAAATTCTAATACCTAAAAAGCAGCAGCAGCAGCAGCAAGAACTGCTTTGCTGGGTCAGCCCAGAGCTCCATTCTAGTCCAGCACTGTTTCTAAGAGTGATCAGCCACTTTCTCCTTATATCACACACATGCATATGCCTCTCCATCTTCCATCTTGCCATGCAAGAAACACAACCAGAGTTCAAGAACACTTTCCAGGCAGCTAAAAAGTGGGGCTGGTAAAGGCCGCCTGGGCCAACAGAGAGACATGGAGGGCCACATCTGACCCTCAGGTTTTTTTATCCCTAGTCCAAAAGCACCCTCTGATCCAGAAGGGCCTCTCCCAAGTCCTGACAGGTGACCTTTTTAAACATGGAAGGAACAGGGGGAGAGGCAGTCAGTCAACCTGGGAAAATACACTCTGCACTTGCTCAGGGACACTCTCCACTACGGCTGTGCCCTGCACGCAACAAACAAACCAGCTCCCCAACTTTTGTCAGGACTTGATCCCAAGCTGGCCAACCTCTCACTTTTCACTCCAGGCTCTTCAGCCACCTCCCCTGTTTTTCCCTAGCACGTTTCTTCGGGCTCTCTTCCCGCTTCGACGTGCGTCTTCCCATCGCATCCCGACGCCCAGAACCCAGGTTCCGGCGTCCAGCCCCCGCGCGCCGGTGTACCTTCCTCACCTGTCCACGGCGATGGCCGTCATGGAGTAGATGCTGGAGAAGACGGCGGCGAGGGGGAAGAAGTTCTGGAAACGGCAGTAGAAGAGGCCGTAGTACCAGACGCTGTGGACGGCGTAGGTGAAATTGACCAAGGTGTTGAAGGCAGCCATGGAGGCTTCGGCGAAGGCCAGGTTGACCAGGAAATAGTTGGTGACGGTGCGCATCCGCTTGTGCGCCAGGATGATCCACATCACCACCAGGTTGCCCACCACCGAGACCAGCACGATCAGTGCGTACGCCACCGCCCAGAGCGCGACCTGCCAGCCCGGCTGCACGAACTGGTTTTCGTCGAGGGAGGCGTTCGTCGAGGCGTTGGAGCCATTCGAGGGGGTCCCCTCCATCGCCCTCAGGGTAACTCGGAGAGCGCCAGCGGGAGCAGCATGGGGGCCGCCTCAGCAGCAGACGGGGCGGGGGGTGGCGGCTGTGGCCCTCGCGCGGAAACTTGCGCGGGGTTTGCGTAGAGGCTGCCGCGCCCGTCGGGCAGCGGGAGGGGGCCCAGGTGTTCTCCGCAACCGGTCACTCGCCTCGCTCTCCGCGGCGCCCGGCAGCGCGGAGCTCTCCTGCGGGGAGCCGCCCCGTCGAGGCTGGCTTCGGCTCTCGCGCCGCCCGAGTGGAGCGCCCGGCTGCGTGGCGGCGGCGAAGCGGCTTTTTATAGCCCGGCAGCAGCGGCGGCGGCGCGCGTCAGGGAAGGTGGGCAGCGGAGGCGGCGCGCAGGCGGCCGGGCGCGCTCCCGCGCGGGGGGTGCAGCTGCGGCAGAAGTGGAGGCGTCTGCTCGGCGAGGGCCCCCGAGGGCCCCGGAACCAGGACCGTCCAGCCGGGGCGCCTTAACTCTCGGCGCCCCGCAGTGCCTCTCCGTCCAGCCCCGCGATGGGGAATCTTTTGCCAACGGAGAGCCACATGTTTTCTAGGTAACCTGCCGGGGGCCGAGGGTGAGCGGGGCCGGGGGCCAGAGGGGGAAGAGGCAGGCAGAGCCATTTGCCCTTCCTAGACTTGGCTGGTTTGACACACACCCAGACCCAGACCCGCGCTGCTTTTAGCGTGCAAAATGTGGAGTTGTGGGGCGGGTGCAGCTGAAAAGCTGATAACGTGCAGTTTGAAAAATCGGAAACAGGAGGGAACCCAAAGGGCCCCCGCAAAGGCCTCCGCAATGTAGGAATCACAGTTAAATACCGGTAACATCGGACAGGTTAGGCTTGTGTGTTTATTAAGTGGTTCAGTGGCAGGCAGACGTGTCAGCATCCACAAAAGCGAAATAAGGGTAGAAATAAATCAAGGATTGCATAAATTATATCAGTATTAAGAATGCTTCAGACAAACTGCCCAAACTTTCTTCTCTGGGGTTGTCACTTTGGGCAGGGCAGGTTGCATCGCAGCCTCCTAAAAACCCTTAAAGTCCTTCTGGTTCTGGTTCCTGAACTAAGCCGGGTCCATTAATGAATACTCACTGCATGGTGGAGCAGAACTACCACGGACAGAGGCTGGAAGCCAATGGAGCAGAGCGGGCTTTGTGTGCCTTTGAGGTTCTTGTTTGTTTCCCTGCTGTGGGGGGGGGGGGTCTGGTGGGGAATTTGTGTAGTTTAGTTTGAAAACCTGCTTTTAAAAAACCCCGACACACGCTCGCCACGGCCTCATCTTTCCTCCATGCAGGCTAGCCAGCGTCATAACCAGAGTTCAAGAATTCATTATAGCCAGGCAAAAACCTGTCAAATACAGCAGGCCAGTGGGGGGGGGGTCACCTGGGGAGAGTGGGTCTGGCTGGGAAGGGGTGTGGGGCAGAAAGAGTTCCTACCCTATAAAAAGCATTATTCAGGACCGTGGTTTGCCTGACCTCCTAAGGAAGATAATAACACTAAAATTCAAAACAGTAATAATCAATGGCAGATTTATTCAAAATCCAATTAAGACTATTTGGTTTAATTAATTCAGACTTGTTCCAGTGAGATCAGCTTTGCAAAGTCTGATAGTCATTTACACCTCCAGCTCATCAAACATTTTCTTGTAGGGTCTTCTGGTGTCTGTAATACTACAGATTATCTTCAAGCTGTATTCCATGAGGGGTTCAAAGTCTGCAATCAGATCATTTCTGTGCTTTATGACTTGGAAGAGTTGGGGGAAATTCTGCAGTTGCCAGTTCTCTGGCTCCTGCTCACCACCCTCATCCTCACATTCTGAACTCAGTCTGACCAGTTTCCCCAGCGCTCCCACAATTAGCTCTTTCACTTCTTCCTGGATGAGGCCAGCAAAGCCATCCCTGCCCACATGCCTGGCAATATGTACTACCGGTAGGTACTCCACCTCAGTGTCAGTGTTTAGAAATCCCTTGAAATTGTGCACACTTTCCTTCCAAAGGTTCCACCAAACAGGCACCCACCGTTTCAGGCTTGGTTGCATACAATTCTATGATCCACTGCCTGTTTAATGTAAGTGATACAGTGAGCAATATTGAAGGACTCCCAGAATGCTGTGAGATCAAGATCTGGCTCCACATCCATCATCCAGAAGGAAGTGAGTTTTGTGTAAGCAGCTGAAAGCAGTGAATCAAACCTTGATCCAGAGGCTGGTGGTGAGAGATGCAACCTCAGCCTTGCCATGTGCAAAGCAGAGTTCCTCAGGGTGCCTAGGAGCATTGTGCGCAAGCAGAAACATTTTAGGCAACAAGTGTTTCTCCTTCAGGTACCGTCTCACCTCAGGAATGACGCATTTGTGAAGCCAGTCCAGAAATCACAGACTCCTAGAGTTGTAGAGTTGAAAGGAGTCCCACGGGTCATCTAGTCCAACGTCCTGCAAGGCAGGAATCTCAGCTCAAACATCCATGCCAGATGGGTATTCAACCTCTGCTTAAAAACCTTCAAGGAAGAAGAGTCCACCACTTTTAAACTTTTTGTTTAAGCTCAGAAATGCGTTTGAGCTCTAAAAAGGTCCCTCACCTTTGCTGCAAAGGTTGGAGCAAGCATGTGCAGAGTGCCAGGAGCTTCACTTTCCCCAGATCAGAAATCACACTCGGGGGTGACAGGCGGGGGGCAGGGGGGAGAGAAGGTGACGGGAGGGAAAGGCAAGATGGCAGCCAAGGAGTGCATGAAGCAAGCCCACACTAGCACAGCTGCACTCCAGGCATGCCCAAAGGCACTCTCAACACCCCGTTTTTTAAAAAATGGATTTTGGTTTGTCGTGCTTTAAAAAAAGTTTTAGGGGATCCTTTACTTTGGGAACGCCTCAGGGGCAGCTGCCCCCCAAATCAATAAAAATCAATACATATCTGAGCTTCTGCTCCCCCTAACAAAAATCCCGGCTACACCCATGAATAAGTCCTTTGCATTTTGTGGTAGGCACTTCTAAAGGGGTCCTCCATTCAAAAGAAGATGTGTATAATTATTTTTTTTAAAAAAAATGGCAGAAGTAGATTTTTTTTCAACTAAGGGGATAAATATTCTGAGGGGATAAATCTTGCCTAATTCCAAAAACAGCTGCAGTGGTTTCCCTGCAAGGACAGCCTTTACCATTTTGGTGTGGCTCAAAAGGGAACCACTGACTCTGCCCTATTGCTTTTTATGTGCAATTTGTATGAAAACAGCAAACATAAGAGACGCACCCTTAGGTAAGAAACCTGCCAAATTACAGACCATTGATGCAGAAGTTCTTCTGTTAGGGACTTTGACAGCTCAGCTGCTGGAATCTAAAAGGGGGTTGCTTCCCTCCTTCTGGATTTGTGGGCAATTACTTTATTATGAAAATTTAGAGGTGCCATGAGGAAAGTAAGCTGTGAAATTTCAGAAGCATTGAGGCAGGGGCCTGGGGAGTTAGAGGATAAATCTAGGAAAGACAGCTTCAGGCTTCTGTTCTGCTCAGCTGGCACCCAAAGTGCAAAGCCAAATTGATGTGTGGGGGTGTAGGCATGAGGTACAAAGGCAGAAGGACTCCAGAGTTCTTTTCTCAAGCAAGCATTGCCAGCAGAAGTAGCCAGGAGCACAGAACAGAGGAGAACAAGGTGATGTATTACTTTCCCAAAGCACTGTGATTGGAAAGCCTCTGTATAATAATTCCCTCTAATAGGTAGCTAGACCCAGAAGTCACAAAAGAGGTCTCCCTGCCCTGGCGTTCTCTGCTTTGCTTCCACAGTTGGAGGCAGCAGTACTTCTGAATACCAGTCGCTGGAATTTACAGGAGGGGAGAGGGCTCTTGTGTTCATATCCAGCTTCCAGAATCCTGCTCTTCTTATGCTCTTAGGAGTGAGACTCCTGCCTCAAGGTCCTGTCACCATATGCATCATATCTTTTAGATTGTCCACTTTGAGGGCAGGGACTCCTGCTACTGGGTTTTGTAAGCTGCCTCTGAAGTCTTTTAGCTAAAAGAAAAGGGGGAAACATCAGAAACAAATAAATGTTTTTAAAATAGCCTCCCACTAAGGAAAGGGACAGAGGCTTGCCATGCTCAAAAGTCCTGGGATTTAAGGGCCAAGATGGGCTGTGATTCTTGCATTGCAGGGGGTTGGACTAGATGATCCTTTGGGTCCTTTCCAACTCTATACTTCTATGATTCTAAGAACCTGCTGTCTGGAAACATAGCAGATGGACAGCAAAGGACTTGAGAGAAAGTTGAGAGAGAGTCTCCAGTGAGGACTGGCCTTTTGTCTGAAGGTTTGCCAAAATGGGAGAGGGGGGCTTTTCGAGGAGAGCTCTGGATGAAAAAGCAAATGTGAGGGAGGAGCCCAATTTATGGGTGGCAAATTGGGACTGGCCACTTTAGTTCCAGTTTGGGAAATGCAAGGAAAAAGAGACAGGGAGCTAAGAGAGAGGGAATTCAAATTTGGGCATCAGTTTTTAGTTGTTCTTACAATGAATGGTTGCTTTGCTCAACTAGTGAGCAAGCAATTCTTGATAGTATTTCACTGCCAGCAGCTATGGTAAGGATGTGGTTTAGGAGGCCAGAGCATCTAAGGCCTTCCTCTTGAGCCCTCCAGCTGTTGAAAACAACACAGGTATTCAGTGTTATTATGAATCATGGTGGTTAAGGCACCAAGCAGAACTACAGTATATGTAAGTTCTAAATATAGTAATTTGCCCTGACTTGCAACACAACAACTAGTCAAGGGCATGAAGCCCAGAGGCTGAAATTGACACCACTCCCAACTCCTCCCCTTACTCCGCTAAGGGTAAAAGGCACTTGTAAAATGATGGCATCCGAGATGGACAGAATGCCATGCTCCCATTCCAAAACACAAGGACAGAAGCTCTTATTGAACAGTAATCTTCATTCTTGTTGCTCATCCTGGTTGCCCTACCTTGCTGTGTTGTACTTTGCCCTATCTCTCTGTGATATTGACATTCATCTGCTGCCTGACTTTGCCTCTGGGTCATGTTAGTACTTAGATTGATTCTCCACCCTTGATTTTGGTTTGTTTGGACTCTGCTGCAACTGCAAGCCTGCCCTCATGGGTGAGATCTTTAGCCAAGGTTGATATCCTCTGGAACTTGGACCTCAGCCCCCCAAGGCCATCACCTGGAGCACAACACTTGCAGCGTAAGTTTACATAAGAGAGGCACAATAGAATTTAAAATTGTAAACAACAGCTTCAGATGCAATGGAATCCACTGATGATTCATAATAAGGTTTAACAGTGAAAAAACAGATTCAAAAACATAATCCAGATAGCAGCAAAAATAATGCGTCTCCCCAATGAAATCTGGCCTGCCTGAGACTGTTATGGGGGAGACTAACAGAACCCAATATGGCAAAGATATTGTCGAACACCCCACTGATTGTTGGTATCATGCAGCAATTATTGGATGAGCAATTGAATGAAAAGGAATCAGAGAAAGATCAGAGTAAAGAATACACAAGACCTTGGGGGCAGGGGGATATTGATCAAGATTTGCCTGAATATGAGAGTGGAATGGTAAAGTAGGAGGCAGCAGATGATGAAATGAAGAGGATCTCCACACAGAGCTGGGAGGGTCCACCCCCTTTTTGTGTTGGACAAGGGTTAAGATATACCTCTGGTAGAGGGCT